ACCCCACTTTCCCCTATGTGGCGCAGCATAGTTTTGTGCACTACCGTTGCAAGTTTCGACGAAACCGGCTCGTCAAAATAAATACGCGTAATATTCCTCAACTTTAGCCACTGTATAGCTAAAATGACGCAATAGAGACTAAAACGGCGCACATCAGATAACTGTATTCGTTGCACCGTATGTGGCGCAGGTCATTTTAATGCATCAATGTTGCAAGTTTCGTCGAAATCGGCCCATAAATGGCAAAGTTATGGCCAAAACGCCTTACATTGAGAGTGCACGTGGTCACTCGAGGTGGGGTGCCACGTGCCACGTGTGGCCTAAACACATAAAGCGACCACCCTTTTGTACCATATGAAAGGGGTCGTCAGTGCTCATGGGTAGACTTTCGGGTGCGCCACCATTGTCTCCCAGCGGCCGATCAAACTTGGCCAATCTTTAAATTAGGGCTTACCTCACTATCCGTCACAATATCTCCGGAATGGAGAACCCCGGGCGGCCATGTGCTTGACACGTGGTAGACCCAACACCATTGGTCATTGTCGCAACCGACTTGGAGCTCTGGCTCAAACCCATGCATTGAGGTTATCACCTGAGCGTAATTATGCACCAATGGCTACCTACCCCAAAATGATACACCCACGTGGCGCACGTGCGAAAACACGTGCACCACGTGATGAGGTGTGCAACTAGCCTGGAGCATCCCCTTGACGACTGCCCTCGATTGGTGCCGCTGGCACGCATTGTTTGCACGGCACAGGCCATCATACCAGCAGTGGTCAAATTTTCACTGGGGTGGTCCACTCAAACAAGTGAGGGGCGTGCACGTGCATTTCAATCGCCCCATATATGGCCTATGCCACGTGGTAGGCGACATGTGGGTGCATATCATACTGTAACATTTTAAAAATCTAACGTGGGAATTTTGAGCAAAATCGATTTTAGTAATTTTTTTCAAGAAATCCCATTGACTTAACACGTGAAAATTTGGGCGCGTGCCACGTGCAAAAAAGTTAATTATATTTCAAGCGATCAACATTGGCGAACGCACCCCATGACCGACTACCGGCACTCAAAAAACAAAGAAAATCTATCGAGCTGATTTTGAGCAAATCGAGAAAAACCGTTTTGGCCCATTTCGTAACGTTAAACCAATGGCGGCTGCACGTGCAATTTGCACCCCCTTCCCGAGACTGCCCGAAACGGCGCCGCCGGCTCATGGTAGATGCCGGGGCGGCCACCCAGCCCATAGAAGCCCATCGCATTACAAGCACCCGTCTGCGAGAAATGCGATGCCGAAAATCCACCTAATGTTGAAGCCTATGGGCCTAAAACACGTGCACGTGCCACGTGCAAGAAAAATAGTTATATTCTTAGCTGAGGGTGTTTCGTGGTAGATAATCTGCGGGGGCAGCTGTCCTGAAAATTTAATCAAAATCTATCGGTTCGTGTGCAAACGGTGCAAGGTGCCCCAATTCGCTGCACCAAACACGAATCCTATCCCGAAATGGAAACACCCTCAGTTTGTTTTTCAATAGAAAAACACAATTCTAAAGAATAGTGTTTGTCTAATGAAGAAACAACCTTCGGGTACTGAGCCAAAAGCGTCTCAGTTTTGACCATACATACTCGACGTAAATGTAAGCAAATGCTCTCGCAACTAAACACTCGACGTTTGAACTCCAAACAAGTCCTTACTCAACATTTGCATAGGGTGGCCGTAGTGTCAGCTGTGTCTTAGTAACGCGGCGCATAGGCCACAGAGATCGATGACAAATGGTTAGGGCGGTTAGGTTTGATACACTGGAATCTGGATCACTACCCAATCACCCACAGCCTCATTATCAATTTCAACGTGCGCTGCGGAAGAGGTTTCCTTAAAATCGTGAGAGATCTTGGCTCCGGAAACGCCGTTTCATGGTCTGGTAATGGGCTATGCGGTACAGCATAGTTACAGGCGTTTGCTTTTACTGCCATCTAGCGAAAAGTTTGTAAGCAGTAGTACGTGAGCATAGACGCTTCTAAAGAAGAGTTGAAGGAAAGTAAGGAATGCTCGAATGAAGCTATCAAACATGTGACTAATTTTGGAACAAGAATAATCCAGAAAAAAATATTAGTTTTCATTCATAATATAAGCTGAGAGTCTTGTGAGAATGAACAAATACCTCAAATAAAACTGCTTTGTTTGAAATCATTTACGACGCAGACTAGGCATTTATAATTCGTTCAGAAACAGAAAACTCAGTGGCTTAATTGGGTTGCCTAGCAACGTTTTGTGACGGTCGTCATAAAGGCTGCCTTGGCGACTGCCTGTTGCTAGGAGACCTGAAGCTAGGGTCTACAATCGAACACATTAAAAGCGCGCAATATGAAAGTTTTTGAGCATTTGTGTTTCTTATTTACAACTCAAACCCCAGCAATAATAAAAGTGATAAATGCTTAGCTGTTATTGTATTATTAGCCTATATATGGCCTTGGTTATTAGTTTGTTGTGGCTGAATAGGTACTCCACATGTTAATTTGAATTGCTGCATGTAGCAAACTTGCTTTGGCAATCATCAACTGCCCATTCAAAACATGCCAGCAAAACCACCTCAAACTGAAACTTGCTGTCACTGTCACTGTTGCTTCCAGTAAAATTATTAATTGATCTGTCAGCCTTTTTTGTCCAGCCTTCAAGGCTTGGATTATTTTTACTAAAATCTGAAGCAAGTATGTTATATCTGGGACTGGGTCAAGTGAAAGAAGCTGATGCCTCGACCGTAGCTGAAAATTTAAAAAGTAAATAAAATCTGGCAATTTTTGAACTGCTGCATTAGGTATGCAGCTGCTGGAAATGACAGGCAGGAATTATAAGGATGTTTCGACCTAGCCTTGCAGAACCTATCCAATGCATGCCTTTGATTGTGATTCAATCCTAAAAGCTAGATCACAAAAAGGTAGCAATGTGGTTTCAGTTAGTAATTTTAAAAGCATGTGGTCTTATATGCTGTAGAAAACTAAAAGAGCACATAAAATTACTAAGATGAAGTGGAGAGTAGGTACTTAGGTAATAAGCTATTATTATATTAAATAGACGTCAATATCAATTTTAGCCTTATCTTTGCATAGGTATCCATCAAATTAAGCTTGTTTTGACTTTTAAACATATTCATTCAAGTGAACTTAAATGTTGTGGATGTATTTGGAAACAGCAAGAGTATTTTTTCAGAAGTTCGCAATCTTTTGGACTAGTGGTTAACAAACATTTCAGTTTCTCTATATTTTAATTAACCTGCCGCCAACCCTTTCCAGCTATCTGTCTTACTGGAGAGTAGAGAAAGATATGGAATTGGATTCTGAAGCAAAGATTCAGCAGTATGTTGAAGAACTGCAGAAACTGAATGAAATCACTGAGTTTCAAAAACGATTTTTCTCTCAGATATCTCTAGCTGTCAATCTTGGAGACACATGCCTTGCTAAACTTTTCAAGCATGACGTAGCTTATGAAGAAGATGCTGACTGGCATTATGCTAAAATAAAGCTGAAAAACAAGTGCAACAACACTTTTCACCAAGACTTTTGGCGTATCATCTTCGATCTGTGCTCTTCTGATGATGAAAACCACAAATTCTACCATTCCTGGTGTCTGAACAAGCCCTGGAAACATGGTGAAACGCTCGACTTCAGCGTTCGCATTCGCCCTCTGCACGAGAGCTCGACGATAGTGACATGCAGCCTGATGTTTGTCGTGCCGACCTCATACGTGGATGATGAGGTGCCTGCTGACGCGGCCTCGGCCGGGAGTGACGCGCCGCCCGCTGCTGCTGCCGACCCGGCCTCGGACGCTGACCCGGGGACGGAGCGGACGGCCGTGATGGCGCTGCCCGTCTTCACCGCCACAGTGGACGCCCTGCACGCGCTGGAGCCGCCCTCGGCGGCCAGCCGGGTGCCGGCGCCGGCGGAGGTGCCGCCCTGGATGACCGAGCTGCTGCCGCCGGACGCCGAGCCGGTGCCGACGCCGCCGCTGGAGCTGGGCGTCTCCGTGCTGCCGTCGGTGACGGCCTCCGACTGGCTGGCGGCCGTGCTGCGCGACAGCCGCTGCCGGCCCGGCGAGGCGGCGCCGCTGGCCGCCGAGGGCCGCCTCTGGGGCTGGCCGGTCCGGCTGACCGCCTCCGAGCCCGCCGGCGCCACGCTCATCACCGTCGGCTGCGAGCGGCTGTCGGTGCTGCTGCGGCTGCTGCGCGCGCTGCGCCGTCGCCTGCCCGCGCAGCCGGCCACCGACACGGTGCGCATACCCAGCCACGTGGTGTCGCGGCTGCGCACTCTGCTGGAGCGCGTGGAGTCGTGGAGCGGCGACCCGAGCCGGCTGCTGGAGCTGTGGCTGGCCACCCAGCAGAGCGTCAGCCACCGCCTGCCGCACGTCTGATCCGCGCCGACCGACGCCGGGCCACGACCCGAGTGACTTGTGACTTGTGCTGCCTTCTACTTTCAGACAGTCGAGAAGTGATCCTGTTTGTAAGCGCAGATATGCGGGATTCATTTCTCGTTCTCGCAACCCCAGCAGTTGAGATGTATCAGCCGTGTTTGGTTTGTAGTCATTAGTACAGACTCTATGCTGGACACCCGAGTGGTGTGTTGATACATCGGCACCAACAGGCGCTTAGTGACGTGGAGCACCGCTTACTGTGTACTTTGTTTCATTCGATACTGTGATATGGTCTCCCGCCAAGAAGGAAAGTGTTATGCTATAAGATGTGTCGGAACTGTTATACAGCTCCGACCCAGCTGTTGTATGCTTAGAGAAATAAAAAGCGAAAAAACGGTGAGTTCGCCGTTTTATTTTAAAGTCTATTCAAAATGACAAAAAACTGCTCCGTCTTACCACATGCCACATTGTTCATCTCGAGCAATTCATAAAACGGACATTGTTTTACTGAGTGTATTCCGGGCACATCTGACGTAAAACATGACAACCTTCGCTATGCGGGCATACGACGCAGGCCATAAGACGGCAGGGCATGACCAATGAACACATTTTATTTGTACTGCTACGATAACTTCACACTGTGTTGGTGATTAGACGGGCACAGGAAGATAGAAAGTGTGCAATAGTGTAAACTAAGCATGCCTTCCATCTACGCAGGCCACAGCTGATGATAAGGCACTCTTTCATTGGCCGCCAGGAAGCCAAGCGCGTGAAAGGGAGAGGGGTTATTACGATTTAGGAGGTACTGCTGAATTTGGATCAGTGCCTCCTATACTGATTGGACCTCAGCTTAAAAATCTATTGATCGGCTTTACGTAATGGTTACATCATCAATCGCAGCACAGTGAATCACAAACTATGAACTGGTATCAACCCGTGGTACCCGCTGATATGGCTTGACACATTTGATCTAGCTACTGAACAATCCTAGGACGTACGATCCTGACGCCTTGCCACTCTATAGTGCCTCACAATCTGCAGCTACCGACCGGCGACCGCAGCCTGTCGGAGCCACGGGCGCAGTGTCGGCCCTCGGTCCCCAAACCTCCCGACCTCTGCAGTGACGGAGCGCCGCCCGCTCCCGGTACTGTCCAGTGACCACTGTCCCGTGTCTCCCCCCCCCCCCCCCGGCGCTCAGCGGGGCCGGCGGCGGGCGCGGGTGGCGCGCGGCGCCGGCTCCTTGGCCGGGGTCGCAGCCGTGTCGTCCAGCGCTGGCGGCGGCGGACACTCCTGGATCTCGGACCGCACGGCGGCGGCCCGGCGGCGCGTGCTGCGCACCAGCCGCGGGCTCGGTGGTGTGGGCGGGGGCGGCACGGGCGCGGGCACCGTGCGGACCCGGCCCGCCCGCTTGACCGGCCGGCGCGGCGGCTCGGCGGGCGGCTCGGGCGGCGCGGCCGGCGTGGGAGTCCGCCGGCCCGGGGAGACCTCCTCGTGCGCCGCACTGTCGGTGGTCGTCAGCTGGTCCATACCTGAGCAGGGAACGGAGCGGGGAGCGGGCCACGGGTCAGGCGCCGGGCTGGGGACACGGAAATCCGCACAGGTATAGACGAGAGGCGTCTAGTGACACTTCAACGCAAAATACCATCAGTGAAACACTGAGAGCTGGACCGTGCTGAAAAGCTCCAAAAGGGACAAGTCCCCGTCTCAACTGTTATCTTGTCCGACCAACCAAACCAAAGTTTTTCTCACCTCTACTAATCGTCGCCACCTCATCATCCTCTTCTTCGCTCAAAACTTTATCGATCAGAAGCTTCTGATTCCAAATTTCTGTCAGCAAGTACATGTGCCGCGATACTAGCTGAAAAAAGAATATCATCAAATCCGTTAACCATATAACAAAATAAATAGCAACGTATGCGTTTAGTAATGGTTATTGTCCACACATAAGTGTCAACGCCTAAAGCATTCGAGGTCAGTCGTGGCGGCCCTGGCGGCGGCCGCCAGGGCCGCCCAGAGCCGACAGGCTACGCTCCATTGAAGCGGAGGGAACAACAACAACAGCAACAGGTCAGTCTTCCTCCCGTCCTCCGGCCACCTCTCCGGCAGTCGGCCCCCCTGCCGCCGCTCTGACCTGGGTCCTGCTGGAGCTCTGTTGGAGCACGCCCAGCGCCTTGCGGTTGACGTGCTGCGCCAGTCGCGCCCGGGAGAACCACAGGCAGATGGCGGCGTGCGCCAGACGTCCGCGACAGCGCAGCACCCGGCCCGGCTCCAGGAGGCCGTCCAGCTGCCGCGGCCGCAGCTGGCCCAGACACGAGACGGCCGCCCGGCGCATCTGACAGGTCACAGAACCGCGGGTGAGAACGTTAGCTGACGTAAGGACACAGACAGTGAGGGATACTGAATCTGTGTCGCTTCGTGTTTTGTCTAATCGATCGTACTGACAAGACAATCACACATGATGTTACGAGAGTGCAATCATCTGTAACACACCCCACCATCCCAGTACTGATTCCACCCCACAAAGTTCACCGACCTTTTCCTCGAGCAGCGGGTAGCACTCGTCGGCCCCTGCACAGAACTCCAGCGCCTGGTCGACATCGTCCTGCACCACGGCGGCGCGCGCCGTCTGCAGGCTGAGCGAGAAGAGCAGCAGCAGGCGGCGCGGACAGGCGCACGCCGCGCACCCGCAGCCGGCCGGGTGGTTCAGCGGCGCCGGCGCACTGAAGCGCGCGCGCCGCAGCCGGGGAGACGTGCAGCGCGGCTGGCCCTGCAGCCAGCGCGCGTCCCGGCCCAGCGGCGAGCCTACCGAGCCGACCGACACGGCCAGGTCGCGGCCGCTCTCGGGCGGCGGCGGCGGCGGCGGCTCGGGCGCGGCCGGCGCGGCCGGCGGCGCCGGACTGCGGCGGCGCCGGCCCCGCGAGGAGGCCACGGTGGGCGGCGCCGGCGGTGTGTCGGCGGCCAGCAGGACCGGCTGCTTCTGACGCCGCGCGGACGGAGCGTCCAGCACGATGTGCCGCAGCGAGTTTAGTTTGATCTGGGTGTCCTCACCGTCCTCACAGAGGAGGTCCGCCTCGATCAGCTGCGACAGAAACTCGGCCGTCCTGCACACACAAAGACGACACACTCAGCGATTGTAACAATAAATACACAGTTTATATGGGTTTCGAAGTCTTCCTTTTCATGGCAATTATGAAACTCTGATATATACAACAAACAATATCGTTAAACAATCGACCGCAGAATATATACGAAGGAGCTTGCTCATCGGAGGACACATCTACGTCACATCTTTTAGTTTACCCACTCCAGTACGCGCCACGCGATCACCCGACATTCACACCTCACTAGCCCCAGCAGTCACGGCGGCCTCCATCCCAGCGAGGCCACCCTCCCAGCGACCGCCGACCCTACCTGAGCGCTGCGGCCACTCTGTACGCGGCCTCCATCTGGTCTCGGACGTAGCTGCGCACCTCGCGCGGGCAGTGCATCCAGGTGAGGACGGCGCCCACGTGCCGGACGGCGTCAAACACCAGGCCCAGCGCGTGCAGGTGCTCCGCCAGACAGGCTGTGTAGGAGCGGACAGAGTGCACAGTCAATGGAGCGATCAATAATTAGTAGCGGTTGAAACAAAGTAATAGCTACGTATAACGCTGCTGTGCTATCAAAAAGACATTAATCTAATCATGCGTGAGCGCAAGCCAGAATAAAACGATCAGACTATGAAACACTAATATACCACATGCGGCGCCTACATACGGCAAACTTTCCGAAAACGATATCCTCAGAATGACAGAACACTAGCACGCCAGTGAGAGACAAACTTGGCTAATATTGGTCACGAAGTTGCCCGGAAGAATGCCGCAATATGCCACAGCAATAGGGTGACTGATCCAGTATCATCCCCACGTCCGATGTACAGGTCTCGCGGGTTTTAGCGGTAACTTTTGCACCTAGAAAATTTAGTGTACTTCAGGCTATATCTTCGTCGTCTTAAGGTTCTAAGTGTTGAAGATGCGATCGACTTGTTGGTTCACAAGCCGGCCATGATCGTGTAAAATGGCTTCATCGTAGGTTTTTTAGTTTAGTTTCTGATTAGTTTCTGAGATATAACCGGAAATGTAAATGTGCAAAACCTACCGCTTAATCTCGCGAGAGCCATACTAAGAGTTTATGAATTGTGATCCCCGTCTCCCAGCGCTTCTGGCGTCTATCCCGCGCTGTCCGACCCCATCCGGTTTGTCTGCGAGTAAACACAGTGTAGCACTCGGTCGAGTCCTGCCACTCACACCCCCACACTCGCCCCTTCCCCTCTCACCCACCCGCTCAGCCGGTATGTATGTATGTATGTATGTATGTATTTACGATCATGGGCGATCCACACATGGCGTGGCGATTTGCTTATCTCCGCTCACCCACCGGTTTGTAAGTCCCACCAGCCCCGCTCACCCACCGGGTTTGTCCTCACCACCCGCCGGTCCCGTCAGCTGCCCCGCTCACCCACCGGGTTTATCCCCACCCACCTCCCGTCCCGTCCCCCCAGTCCCGCTCACCCACCAGGTTTGTCGGCCGCCAGCCAAGCGCTGACGCAGGCGCCGTGGAAGGCCGCCACGCCGGCCATCTCCAGTGTGTTGGTGCCGCGGCTGGACGGTACGCAGGCGCACAGAGAGGCCAGCCGGTACGCCTCGGCGGCCACCCGGAAATAGGGGATACTGCGGGTGAGCAGTGCCGGGTCCTCCAGCACAGAGTCCAGCAGCGGCAGCGCCGACGACACCTGAGAGCGGACAGCGGAGGGGACGTGAAACATAGCTCAAGCTGAATACATGAGCTACTTTTCAAACGCTCCAATACAAACCTACACTGATTCTCACACCCGCAAGTAAATGCTGATTCATGAAAGAATGCACTGGCCACTGACCTTAATATCCAATCCAAGATGAAGAAGCTCCCCGTATACATAATCTACGAACGGCTATGGACCAGACTTTAACTCAGGGCCTTTAAACAGTCAACTCGTGGTTGTAAGATCATAAACATACCTGCTGCAGGTGGTAGTGCCCCCAGGCCTTGGCCAGCGTCCAGCGGAGGACGACCAGTCGGTCGGAGGACCCGGTGACGGCCGCCTCCACCGGAGTCAGGTCCTCCTCCTCCGGCCACAGGTTCGACTGGAGCAGCTCAGAGGCGGCTGGAGGCGGAGAACAGCAGCGTCAGACTGACAGCACCGTCACACGGCCACACATCAGTGTGTGCTTACATAGTACCATAGCTTAGAGGCCGCTGGAGGCGGACGACCACAGTCAGACACAGCACCGTCAGATTAATTACTTAGGTAGCACGAGAGTAGCGCGGGGCTATCTATCAGCTCAAAGAAAACGAGGCAATATGGGGCGCCCGACGCGTCTACCCATTCCCCAATCGGCTACGCAATGAGCGGACCATACGCGCTTAATTATAATCCTAGTTGGCATTCACTTTACTTGCGAGCACATACCACAAACCCGTAACAAGCCGATACAACTGTCAGCAATGGACAAAATAAACTATATTTCTCGTTTACATTCGGATTTGTGCATGAACAAATCCACTTCCAACTCACACAAAAAAAATGTTTGAAATATTGAGGAAAAACAGTCTCCATAATTCCCCGTCCGTCCCACCTGTGATGCAGGCGTTGGTGTCTTTCAGCTGCTGTCCGGCCCTGTAGACGGCTCTCCAGGCCCTGGCCGCCTGCAGCTGATAGCCCAGTCCCGTGTAGATCTGAGCGGCGCCGGTCACTGCCGTCAGCAGGTCCGTGGCAGGGTGCAGCTCAGACTCGGGCCCCTTCTGCCGGGGGGAGGGAAGGGGGTCGGTCAGCAGGTCCGTGGGAGGGTGGAGCTCAGACTCGGGCCCCGTCTGTGAGTGAGGAGGGGGGAGGGGGTGAGAGACGGTCAGCAGGTCCGTGGGCGGGTGGAGCTCAGACTCGGGCCCCTTCTGCCGGGGGCAGAGGGAACGGTCAATGAAGGCGCATTATGGAAATGGAGAATGGCACCGTGAGCTAATCAAATCGCTGAATCAGGGTTTTGAATCAGGGTTTTTAACCACCAATCGCTTTGCTTTTTTGGACAGACTGTCAGCGTCGAGACACAATGTTGAATGCTAGTAGGGTGATGTGACAGGCGTATTTGAGAAAGTTGCAAATACCTCAGACATTATAAAATATGAGAGCCAAAACTGTTACACACGGACAACTGAATATTGTAGCAAACAGAAAATAATGGCACTTTATCTAATTGAGCCATCGATGACTTAACCACCAGGTATTCTGCAATCACCTAATCCGCACCCCGAGTACGCTGGCCTTTTGATTCCCCCGCCCTATCCATCACCCCTCCCCACGTCCTCTACACTGGCTCCCGTCTCACCGTCTCGAAGAGGCTCTCTGCCAGTCCGAGGACGGCCTGCAGGGGCTGCAGGGTGGCCGCCTCCCGGTCCAGGTTGATGGACAGATAGTCGGGCACCACGGTACACGACGCGTCCAGGTCGACCTCGTCGTCAGGCGCGGCCGGTCGCTGGCTGACCTGTGTTAGCGGCGACAGCTGACGGAGGAGAGGCGGGGAGGGCGAGGGTTAGCTGACCTGCCTCCCCCGCTGACCTGTGTCAGCGGCGACAGCTGACGGTGGAGGGGCGGGGAGGGCGAGGGGTTAGTTGACCTGCCTCCCCTCGGGACGAAGAAGGCGCCAGGACCGGACCAGGTATGCACCGAACACCTGCGGCACCTCGGACCGACGGCCTACCGGACCCTTCTGGCACTCATCAACAGATCGTGGTCCAACTTCGAGACGCCCGCCTCATGGCGACGGGCGACCATCATCCCCATCTTGAAGGCCGGCAAAGACCCCAAACAAGTGGGCAGCTACCGCCCGATCGCGCTCACGAGTCACATCGCCAAGCTAGCGGAGCGGATGATCGCGGCCCGGACGACCTACCTCATCGAGCGAGACCGACTGGTGCCCCCCGAACAGGTCGGGTTCCGCCGCGGGAGGTCGGCGGAGGACAGTCTGGCCCGCTTGGTCCAAACCGTTCAAGATGGCTGGAATCGCCCCAAGCCGAGACGAGGCCCGGAGGATGGCGTGACGGCGGACCGCTTTGTCCTCCTGGCGTTCGACTTCTCCCGTGCCTATGACACGATCGATCACCGGATGCTGCACCTGAAGCTCCTCAAGCTCCTCCCCAGATGTCTCGCGACCTGGATATTCCGGTTCCTTCGCGACAGGCGGGCCCGCGTAGAGGTCAACGGCGCGCACAGCAGCGAGCGCGTGTTCCGCGCGGGCCTGCCGCAGGGCTCGGTCCTGGCGCCGACCATCTACACGCTCTGGGCGGCGGACCTTATCGAGACCCTGCGGAACGCCTCGGACCGCACGGACGTCCTGATGTATGCGGACGACACGGCCACACTGAGCGCTGGAGCCACCGTAGAGCTCGCGGTGGCTCGCGCCCAAAAGTCGGCCGACGCCCTGGCCCGATGGGCAAGGCACTGGAAGATGTCCATCGCCGGACAGAAGACCCAGGCGCTGCTGCTGACTCAGCGGAGCAGGGACGAGCGTGGCGTGCAACTCCTGGTGAACGGCACGCAGGTCACCGGTGGCACCAGCCTACATCTTCTGGGGGTGACCTTCGACAGACTTCTACACTTTAAAGACCACTGCGACTCTCTGCGGCGGAAGGTCCGGCCGCGGACGGCACAGCTGCGGAGGATGACCGGCCGGACCTGGGGTCTCCGCGAGGCGCAGCTCAGGACAGTCGCGAACGGGTATGTCCGGGGAGCCCTTGAATACGCGGCGGGTGCCTGGCTCCCGGCCGCGTCCCCGTCACACGTTCAGCTGGTGGAGCGCGAGCTGCTGGCGGCCGCCCGGGTGGTGACCGGATGCCCACGGTCCACCCCCAGGGATCCCCTGCTGGCCGAGGCAGGCATCCCTTCAGCATGGTCCACCAGGAAGACGCTGGCCGCGCGAACGCTCTGCCGAGCGCTCGCCCTGCCGGAGGACGACCCTCTTCGCCGCGTCGCGGAGGCCGACCCACCCACTCGACTGCGGTCTACCACTGGCTGGCGACAACTGGGGCGATCGGCGCTGATCGAGGCGGGCGCCGAGGGAGTGACGGTGGAGCCGCGCCTCGAGGTTCCCCTCCTCCCGTGGACAACCTGCCGCCCGATCGCCTTCAATCTGGACGTGGGACCCGGCGGTCGTCGAGCCTCCTCCAACGAGACGCGACGAGAGGCCGCGCGGCAGCACCTGGCGGCGCTCCCAGCCCAGGCCACGTGGATTTGGTCCGACGGCTCTGCGGACGCTGGGGTCAGGCGAGGAGGAGGCGGCGCCGTCATCTTCACTGCGTCGGGGGAGACTCTCGAGGTGGAGGTGGCGGCGGGAGGCCTCTGCTCCAGCACCCGTGCGGAGCTGTTCGCCCTGAGGGCGGCGCTGGAGCGAGTCCGGGATGAGCCGTCCCCCGCCCCGCTGGTGGCGTGCTCTGACTCACGAGCCGCCCTGAGCCTCCTCAGCGCGGGAGCGGCCGCCCAGACCACCACTATCGGCGCGGCGATCTGGAGGACGCTGCTGGACATTGCCGAGCGCCGGCAGGTGACCCTGCAGTGGGTCCCTGCTCACTGCGGGCTGGCGGAGAACGAGCGCGCTGACGCCCTGGCCAAACAAGCGGCCACCCTGCCCCAGGGCGCCGTGCCCTCGGACGCTCGGTCCCTGACACGGGCAGTTCATCGGACGGCCACACGTCAGTGGCGCGAAAACTGGCCCGACTCCTTTTTTAAGACTATCTTCGGGAGCACCCTGCCGCTCCCCATCCCCGGAGAGGACCGAGAGGCCGCCATCTCGGTGCACCAGTTGAGGGCGGGCCACTGGGGCCGCTCGCTCCAATACCTGCACCGGATCGGCCGCCACCCCTCTGTGGCATGCCTGCAGTGCCCCGATAAGCGGTGCCCCGCGGCGCTCTGCGCCGTGTGCCGGGAGGAGGCGGACGTGCCGGAGCACGTCTTGCTCCGCTGCCCGGCCCTCGCTGGCGCCCGCCTGCGGCTAACTGGCAGCATTTACGTCGACCCGTCGCGGCTGCGGGACGCCGACCTGGTGGCTGCCTTGGAGGCCGGCTACCTTCGTCATAGGGAGCCTCTCGGCTATGGTCCTCCGTAAGGAGGGCCCAGGGGGAACAACAACAACAACAACAACAACAACCTGCCTCCCCCGCTGACCTGTGTCAGCGGCGACAGCTGACGGAGGAGAGGCGGGGAGGGCGAGGGGTTAGTTGACCTGCCTCCCCCGCTGACCTGTGTCAGCGGCGACAGCTGACGGAGGAGAGGCGGGGAGGGCGAGGGGTTAGTTGACCTGCCTCCCCCGCTGACCTGTGTTAGCGGCGACAGCTGACGGAGGAGAGGCGGGGAGGGCGAGGGGTTAGCTGACCTGCCTCCCCCGCTGACCTGTGTCAGCGGAGACAGCTGACGGAGGAGAGGCGGGGAGGGGGAGGGTTAGCGCCGCGGTCAGGTATGGGAGGTGGCCTCGGAGATTAGGGCCTAACCAGGGCTAATAGTCACATTATCAATGACGGACGATATGTATGGTCTACTAGTGAAGTGATGAAAAAGACGAGAAATACGTGAGTTGCTAGTTACCTTCGCCGCCTGGATCTCGACTTTCTTCCTGTTGATACACAGATAGTAGTTGGCCATGCAGAGGTTCAGCCGCAGAGAAGACTTTTTCGACTGACCGATCTGAAACGATAGACCGATCGTGTCATGATTGACATTGACAGAGTAGTCATCGACACTGAATGACACTAAAATAAGTCAGAGTCCAATGGATTCAGATACCACCGATCGACTCCTTGCAGCCAACAGTACGAAAGAGAAAAAGGAAATAAAACGGAATAATGTTTGAGAACAACTGCGTTCACGCCCAGATGAAAAGTCACATATCATGCCCGATCTCCTCTCCCACTCCCGTCCCATACCTTTTCCGCGAGCATGGCGACCGCCTCTGCGCACTCGGCGGCCGCCTGTTCCGCGCCACACAGCCCGACCTGAGCCCGTGTGACCAGCATCCAGGCGCGCTGCGCCGGGCTGAGCTGCAGCTGACCGTAGTGGACCAGCGCCGCGCGCACCGCCTCGCTCAGGTCACCGCTGGATGGAATGAGGGGAGGCCGGGTTAGATGATTAGAATTTAGAGCAGTGCACGGTCATGCTCGTCGATATATGGTGGATTTTCATCGGGAGCCGGCATTTGAAATGCTATCTATGCCAGCAGCTGTTGACACAGGCAATATGAAAAAAATGAATAATGTTGAGTCGAACAACAAGTCGCTGCTTAAAAGGTTACAAAAACATCGACAGATCCCACAGGTCAGACTGGTTAGTGACTGACAGGCATCCCTACTCTGAGCCAAGCGCCATACTCTAGTCTCCGGCCCGGCCACCTCACAGGCTACGGTACCCACCTGACGCTGAGGTAGTGTTTGACCTCCAGTTGCAGCAGGCGGGCGGTGCTCGGCGCAGAGTCGCCGGCGCCGGGCCGAGGCCGGTCAGAGCCCACATCGGCCATCAGCTGGGGCAGCGTCACCTTCTGCGGGGGAATAGAGCAGATGTCAGTCAAAGGACTGAAACATAGAATAGCACAGATGGAGTCAAGGGTCGGAACCCACATCGGTCATCAGCTGGGGCAGCGTCACCTTCTGCGAGAGAGAGCAGTAGTGAGGTGGGTCAGGGGATTGGAAATGCACCGGCGAGGCATGATGAAATGGAAAAAGAAATTAAGAAGGGCATCATCCGATGAGCGAAGCCACATTGGTAGATGATGCTGCTAAAATGGATCGCAAGGAAATTACTGTCCTTGTAAGCTTGACGTCTAAACAATGCAATTATCTGACTATACAACATGGTCACTTTATACTAAAAAATGTACTTGATAGACATGATAAAAGCAAACGAGGCTAACCCCACCGCATTGCGTTTCACAACCCACTTCCTACGCATGCCAATGCAGGATCAGAATCCCCATGATGCCCCGTCAGAGAAGGAGCAGAAGCCCCCACCAGTCGCCGGCTCACTCACCATGCAGTCTGTCTGCTGTCGGCTGGCGGCGTCCCGTTTCACCTTGGCCCAGGCGGTCAGCAGCTGCGGCAGGTGGTCGGAGGCCAGCGGCACGGCGCGCGCCAGGCAGCGCAGCGCCGCCTCGAACTGCTGCCGGCCGCGCTGGGCGTCCACCAGCAGCTGGGTCTTGCTCGACACGCTCGACGACTGGTGACGGGGAACGGCGTGGTAGTGAGGCAGGCACTCAGAGGTGGCGCGGAGAAATATAAAAACGAGATACCATCACATTCACAAACAGCTGACAAGGCACGCTCGACTGCAAAGTCTACAAGTCACCCTTAGCCTCTACTGCCTCTAGTTAGTCATCATTAGCAACTACTGTCTCTAGTTTTGTTAGCTAGCTTATATCGACACCTTTTTTTTTAAACCCCACATTTGTTCTCCCGTGAAGCTCAGACAAGTTGTTTAGAAACCTTCAAAAAAGGTACAGTCACTCGATTTTCTCAAGTTTGTCTGTCTTGGCAGATCAAGCAATGCCAGAGCAAGCTTACGAACACACAAATTTGATCAGGATCGGACGATTGGGCACTTCTAAAAAGAGATCTTTCGTGCTTCCCGGAAATTCACCGGAGAACAGATGTGGGGTTTAAAAAAGGTGTCGATATGAGCAGCTTCTAGGAGAGCTTCTAGATGAGCAGCATAGCATAAGCACGGAATATATAGTCTACGACATAAATATGTTGACTATATATTCCGTGGTATAAGTCACTGGCAGCGCCAATGCACCCGGCACAACCTTCATCCAATCAGCCTAAATGTTGCGCCCTAACCGTTCCCGTTCTCGTCGTTTCCGTCCTCACCTTGACCTCGCTGGGGTCGGCGGCGGCCGCAGCACACTCCAGGAAGGTACTCAGCGCCTCCATACCCTCGTCATCGTGACCGGCGCGCATATTCACCACGCCCAGATTACCCGAGAACGTCACTGTCCGGGAATCACGGGTATCGAGGTTACAAATATTGACACGGACATATGCGACAAGAGACGAAGGGGTCAAAGGCAAGAACGTTTCTGTTCCACGCAATGACTGTTATTTCCTTGTTTTCTGTTGCTGCTTTTATTGAGACTGCTCTGGATTGATGATAGAAACTGAGACTATTGATGGTGTAAGCTTGCAGCAAACTGCCATCTGACTAAAAATGACAGCGTATGACTCACAAATAATAACGAGGTTTGAAAAATCGGTCAACTGTTACCATATGAACAATACCATTACCATATGAACAATACCAAATGAATAATATGCGCATTGTCAGTTGGGGTTTCGGGGATCATTCAGTGATTCCCCTCCCACCCCTCGGCAATCTCACCGAGCACGGCCGACCAGCGGGCGCGTTCCTCGTCACTGAGTCGCTCTCCCAGCGGGGTCACTGCTCTCAGCAGGCTCAGCGCCGCCGTCACCAGGGCGGCCGGCGCCGGCGAGGAGCGGGCCACCTCGACTAGCAGCGTGTGGGCGCAGCTGCAGGCGCGTACAGCCACGGACAGCGGGACGCGCGGGGGCAGCGGGCAGACGGTCATCAGGCGGGCGGCGTCACAGGCCCGCCGCGCCAGCTCCGCAGACACCTGGTGGAGGGGGGGGGGGGGGGTCAGTGTGGAGACTGGGGCGATCGGCGAGACAATTATGCGCCGTCCAACGGGTTCCGCCTCCCCGCGGTGGACGGCGGGGGCCCGACGACTGCTGCTACGGTGGCGATCCGAGGGCCCAGGCGCGCGCGGTGCGAAGACCACGCCCGCTGCACCAAATGGAACCCAGATGCTCCCGACAGTGCGGACGCCGTGGGGTCGACGCCCTGCGGCCCCGCCGCCCCGAGGCTGCATACCGACACTTCTCACCATCTCCGCCGGAGCTCCGCGGGCCTGGGCGCCGTACGACGGCAGCCCGGGCCCGCGTAGCTAAGTGAGCGACGCGCCCCCCGCCGTGAGGCCCGACGGCGGGGGCAGGAGGGACTGCGGCCCATGGGTGCCCAGGGGAGGCCACAGCCGGAGAGCCAAGAATCGGAGGTACCGTCACAACTGCCAAGTTCGAAGCCGACTGCTGGTGATCAGCTGGAACGCGGAGGGGGTCCTCGGGAAGATCGGGGAGCTCAGCCGTTGGCTGTCGGACACGAAGGTGGACGTGGCGGCGATCCAGGAGGCTCAGTTGGCTGGCAAGGCCCTCACGGTCCCGGGGTATCAGACGGCAGCAGTCTCAAGAAGGGCCCGAGGCAGGAGGGACGGTGGACCGGTCCGCGGCGGGGACGTTGCAATCCTGGTCAGGAACGGTCTGAACTTCACCACCATCAGGAGCTCCCCCCTTCAGCCTCAAGACGACACCACCGAGTGCTGTGCCATCCGTGTCATCTTGAGCACAGCAAGACAACACTCCAGACACCTCGACATCTACAATGTGTACCGCCCGCCCATCCGAACATCCGCCCAGGACGAGCGGGTCGACTTCTTCAGCCTGGATGCATTCCCGAGCAATGATGCCACTATCATCACGGGAGATCTCAACAGCCACCACCCTGTCTGGGATGTTTCTTGTTCAAACCCGGACAGGGTCGGTGACTCCATCTACGAGTGGACGGCCCGCCACGACTGGCAGGTGCTCAACTCCGGGACCCCCACACGGGCCGGCTACGGGGAGGACGCCCGCCTCTCAGCTCCTGACGTCACTCTGGCGCACAGTGACCTGGCCCGGCGCTGCACGTGGGAGGTCGGCACCGATCTGGGGAGCGACCACCTCCCGCAGCTGGTCGCGGTCACCACCTCGGGACACCGGCCTCGTCGCATCAGGAAGACGCGCTGGGCCTTCCATAAAGCCGATTGGACGGCTTTCACGGCCCGCTGCGAGGAGACGATGGCTGACCTGACGCTGGGAGAGACCTCGGTGGAGAGACTCGCCGCGCGTTTCAACGATGCTATCATCGAGGCGAGCGTGCGGTGCGTTCCCCGGGGCGCCCGTGCGGACCCCAAGCCGTGGGCGCTCGACCCGGAGCTGGTGCGTGCGGTGGAGGAACGGAAAGCGGCAAGAGCAGCCGTCCAAGAGGACCCGTCCCCGGAAAACCAGACGCGCTGGAAAGAGAAGAAGAGGCACGCTGCAGATGTCGAGGCTGACGCCAGGCGCCGCGCGTTCCAGGACTTCGCGTCTACCGAATTGAACCGCCGCGCGGCCTTGGGCCGCGTCACAAAGATCCTGCGCAAGATGGAGGGTGCGGTGACGGACACCTGCCCCGGCCAGGCCATCACCGGGGACCGCGGCCAACTCGTCGCGGAGGACCGGGCCAAGGCCGAGGCGTTTGTCCGCACCTACGCAAACGTCAGCAGCCACACCCGTCACAGGAGGCGTGATCGATCAGTGAAGGCTGATCTGAGGGTGGTGAAGACGCGCCCCTGCTCATGTGCTGGACAGCGCGATGGTGCCTGCCAGCCCTTCTCCAGACAAGAGATGAGGACCCAGCTGAGCAAGCTGAAAATGAAGAAGGCTCCCGGCGCCGACGATGTATGTGCGGAACACCTCAAGCACCTCGGGCCGGTGGCCCAGGCCGCGCTACTGCACGTCATCAACAAGTCGTGGAGCTCCGCTGAAGTCCCCTCGGCATGGAGGAGAGCAATCATCATACCGATCCCTAAGGCCGGGAAGGACCCTCAAGAGGTCACTAGCTACCGTCCGATATCGCTCACCAGCCACGTCGCCAAGCTGATGGAGCGGATGGTGGCAGCTAGGCTCACGCACCTACTGGAGCGAGACAACATTATCCCCGCAGAGCAGGTCGATTTTCGCCGCGGCCGCTCTGCAGAGGAGAACCTGGGACGACTCATACAAGAAGTCCAGGACGGGTGGAACCGGCCGCCACCGAAGGGACGCCCGTCTGACGGCAAGACCGCCGCCAGGTTCGTGTTGACGGCCTATGACTTCTCCCGCGCCTACGATGTAATCGACCATCAAATGCTGCGACTGAAGATGTCCCATCACCTTCCACGGTGCCTTGTCACGTGGATTCACCACTTTCTCCGAGACCGACGCGCCTGCGCGGAGGTCAGTGGGTCACGGAGCCGGAACCGCCCATTCCGAGCTGGCCTGCCGCAGGGGTCCGTCCTCGCACCGACCCTGTTCACGCTGTGGTCGGCGGACCTCGTGGCGGCGCTGAAGCGGATCCCGGGCACCTCTGTCTTCCTGTACGCCGATGATACCGCAACACTGTGTTCCGGCGGTACGATAGCGGAAGCCAGGGACCGGGCTCAACAAGCGGCGGATGCCATAGCGAAATGGGCCCGCGACTGGAAGATGCGGCTGGCAGGAAGCAAAACGCAAGTTTTAGCCCTGTCGCAGCACTACGTCGACGCCCGGGACCTGTACATCCACGTAGACGGGGCACGAGTGGACGCTGGGAGACATCTTCACCTTCTCGGTGTAACCCTGGACCGGCAACTTCACATGGGCGAGCACTGCGCGCGCGTCCGGAAGAAGACCAAGCCGAGGATCGCACAGCTCCGTAAGATGACCGGGCGTTCCTGGGGTCTGCGGGAGCCACAGCTACGAGTAGTAGCCAACGGCTACATCCGCGGTGCCCTGGAATACGCGGCGGCTGCATGGCTCCCTGCAGCGTCCGAGTCCCACGTAGAGCTACTGGAGATTGAGATGCGCGCCGCAGCCCGCGTTATCACCGGGTGCCCCGTGAGCACGCCGAGGGACCCGCTCCTCGCGGAAGCCGGTCTGGTTCCCGTGAGAGCACGCCGGGACCTGCTCGCTGCCAGACTGAGCTGTCTGGCAGCCTCACAAAGAAGCGGCGACCTACTGCGCGCGGTGGCCGAAGCAACGGCCCCACGGCGGCTCCGCACCACCACCGGCTGGCGCGACACGGGAGCGCGCGCCCTGGTGAGCGCGGGCGTGCGAGATGTACCTGTGGAGGAGCGCCTGCACGTCACCATCCCGCCGTGGATCGATGACACCAGGGTCCAGTTCAGACTTGACATCGGCAACCACATCAGCCGCACAGCACCACCCGACGTCCGGCGGGAGAGAGCGGAGGAGCATCTGGCCACCCTCCCAGACGACGCCGTATGGGTGTGGAGCGACGGCTCGGCGGAGGGAGGTGTCTCAGCCGGAGGGAGTGGAGCGCTGATAATCCTCCCCTCAGGCGAGGAACACGAGCTCCGAGCCCCTGCGGGCAGGATATGCAGCAGCACCCGCGCCGAATTGGTGGCGATCCGCGGGGCACTGGAGATGCTGCTGCGGCTGGAGGGCGGCCTGGCGGAGAGCCCGGTCATCGTCTGCGCCGACTCGCAGGCGGCGCTCGCCACACTGGCGAGTGGGGCTGGGAGCCAGGCGACAGCACTCGGCGCCGCCGTATGGCGACTGCTCCTGGCGCTCACGGACGGAGGACGCCGAGTCTTCATGCAGTGGATCCCAGCGCACTGCGGAATACCCGGCAACGAGAGAGCGGACGTGCTGGCTAAAGAGGCATCCAGCCTGTCGCAAGACGCCGTCCCAACGGACGTCCGCTCGATGGTGAAGGCAGTCGGCCGCTCCGCCACCAAGGCATGGCGTCGCAGCTGGCCAGACAGCTTCTTCAAAACCATCATGGGAGACCGGATGCCGATGCCGGTGCTCCTGGAGTCTCGCGACGAGGCGGTCAACGTCCACCAGCTGCGGGCGGGACACTGGAGCCGCTCGCAGAGCTACCTTCACAGAATCGGACGCCGCCCCGAGCGCGACTGCCCACAGTGCAGTGATCTGGCCTGCCCGGCGGCGCGCTGCCTGGTGTGTCGCGAGGGCCCAGACACGCCGGAGCACGTGCTGCTGAGGTGCCCGTGCTTGGCTGGCGCGAGGCTCCGCCTACTCGGCAAGATCAGACCGGACCCTACGCAGCTTCGGGACGGCGGGGCCGTGGCGGCCTTGAGCCGCGGCTACCTCAGTCACCAAGAGCCGTTGGGCTACGGTCGGCCGTGAGCCGACCCGGGGAGACCAACAGACAATTATGCCGTAAAAATGGAAGGAAAACAATTAGACCAGACAATGATGGTAATCTGGCAATGACGAAATTTGTTGGGAACCACGACATTTAAGTTATATGGCCAAATCATGTAGTCCTTTCAACGTCTTTTGATCTCAGAAAAACAAAATATTTGTTAGACTAGAAAACGAAGAGTTTTTTATAAATGCTATAGGAAAGTCTAAGCCTACAAGATAAACAAAAAAAAAATATGGACGTCTAATGTGGATAGAAAACGTCAAGAAGACGGTAAATCCCGCGTGTAATTTCAGCCTCCCGCTGACCCCATCCCGACCATAATGAGCGTGGGTGGGCGTGGGTGAGGGTCCGTTCGATATCACTCACCGCGGGGCGGCTGGTGCCGGAGGTCGCTGTCAGCTGTTGCAGTAGGTAGTAGACCGTGTACAGCGCCTCACCGGCCAGCTCCTCCCCGGCCACATCCTCCACCTCCGCGGCCTCCCCACCCTCCCCCGGACCGGTCAGCGCGCCAAACACCGCCGTCACGAGCCGCAGCGGCCGGCAGTGCGCCGCCAGCCGCCACAGGTGCGCCGTGAACGCCGCCGACGGCAGCGCGCCGCAGCAGGCCAGCCGGGCGGCGGTGAGCGCCACCAGCGGCGCGTGCTCGGCCGGCGCGCTGTCCGCCAGCGTCAGTAGCTGCTCGGGCAGGCCGGCGGCGGCGGCGGCGGCGGGCCGGCTGCGGCCCCACTCGGCCACCTGGTGCGCCGTCTGGGACAGTTTGTCGGCGCCGGGACGGCTGAGCAGCAGGTTGCGCAGGCTGGCGCGCAGCAGGCCGGCCGCCAGCGGCGCCGAGCGCGCCTGGTAGGCCGTCTTCAGCAGCAGGTTCGAGTGGTTGAGGAAGACGGGCGCCGCCGGAGTGGCTGTCGGATCGCTCGGCAGCAGTCTGTCCAGGTGTCCCGCGAACGATAGCACCAGCTCATGGTGCTCCTGTGCCCCAGAGGGAGAGCAAAGATCGTCACAAAATACAAATCAGTGCATAATTAGATGGATATGCGGCCAGTGTTACGAACCGTGTCAAGATATACATCATTCCAGGATGTCACTTTGAGCAAAGTTCTGAAAACCGCAGCAATGAGGGAACTAACACGCCCAATCTGATACAAAAACGTGCATGAAAGATATTAACTAAATCGTCGTCCATTTCGGTAACTCTGCCTTCAGCAAATATAAACCACCTGCCACCATGCCACAGACCTTTAGGGCGCACGTGTAGGTGAAGAAGTAGACCTGGTCGCAGAACTTTATCACCAGGTCCTCGGGGACGGCGATGACGGCGGCGCAGCATCTGTCCGAGGCGGCCAGCAGCTGCAGCTGCTGCTCGGCCGACAGCTGCGCGGCCCGGTGCTGCAGCTGCCCGGCAGCTGTGCGCAGCGCCCCGTACAGCGCCGCGTAGTCCGGCCCCTCGGCCAAAAACGCCTGACCAACGGCGTGGCCAGAGTCATAGAGTGAACATCGGCGGTACTCGTGACGTTCACTAACAATCTGTCAAAGCCTGATTTAGGTACTGATTTACTTTACTGATTTCTTCTGTTGGCAATCAAGATAGATAGCTACAGCAGTATGCATGATGGTGTCAGTTTCCATACTTGAAAGTGGATAAAGTTAGGGATATTGTTAGTCTCTCTTTACAAAGAATTGAGGGCTAATGTGCATTCAGGTCACATCCATATCTGAGGAGAATCAGACAAAATAATCCTAAAAAATGGCCACAGGTAAGTATATTGTAGCTTTCTCAACATAAAAGTAAATATGTCCATTACTCACCTCAACATCAGCAGTTAAATTTGTGAGAGCAAGCTTCTGCAAATTCAGCATCAAAACCTTTGCCATTTTTCCTGGAACACAAATACAATCATTACACATATGAATGTCAGGAATAATATACAATTTTATTTGTCCTTTTTAATCATTGCAATTGGGCTGGGGAGTGGAATGGAAACCTGACATCAAAGCAGCATCAAATAATTATCTAGTCAAAATATGCTTGAAGGTGTCTCCTGGCAAATAGGTAGGCACCTAGTAACAATTGCAATGCATCTTGCATAGGTACAAATTAAGAGTTCCTTCAATTGAGAAGCCAAGAATGTCTTAAGCCCATCTATCCTCTTCTCAAGCTGGACTAGGATTTTTTGAAGCACACCAGTTACTCATCCTCAAGATAGCTTATCAGATGATAAGATGCTTTGCTTGAAAAGAAACTTAGATTTTCATTTGGATATATATAACATATATAATATAGGCCTATACATATATAGTTTTATATTTTCTGCTGATCATACCCAAATGCAGCAGCAAAGTCCTCAATTCATCTAATTTGGATGAGCAATCCTACTTCCTAGCCTAGCTCCTGACTCCTGTGAAGATTTAAAGTTCAAACCCCAACAAATACTTAACAACAAAATAAAGAGAATTAATAAACCTCTTCCAATTCAATCTAAATAGGAAGGTAGGAAAAGTAGTGAATTAGGTATCATTCCGACCAAGCCCTGCTTCTCCATTGCCATCTCTTCTCTTAATCTACTTACCTAAGCTTACCTACTCTTACAGAAACTGAGCACTGAGCAGTAAGTAATGAGTGACTTTTAAGAGCAAACAAATGCCAAAAAAGACGAGCACAAATGGGGATAACCTATGCAGCAGACCAATCGCTCGTTTTTAACACCATCGAATTGGATTATTGCATTGCTCAGTTCAATGAAGCAGAACTTTTCTAGCTTAAAATGATTATTTCTACTAATAACACCAAGAAAATAAATAAAAGAAATGCAAGAAAAAAAATCATTTTTATCGCAAACAAGCTGCAACCGCACAATAAATAATCCACGGAAATCGACAAAATAACTTCAATTCAATTCAATTCGCACGAGAAATATGCTGCGTCACAATATGCAGCAGTGCGTCAAAGAACTTTGCTGTCATTTTGAAATTCGCGCTTTCGTATTACGAAGACGAAAGTATCAAACAAATTTTGGAAACAAATTGTTAATTTTTTTATAAATTACTCTTGAAATTCTTAATAACTTTCTTACTATGATCAATAAAGTAGTGAAAACTGTTAAAGTGGATAAAACATAGCACTCAATTTATTTATACGTCATCAAAGCTTCACTTTATCAACTTCTCAACTTACAAATTATTTCATTTGTTGAATACGTTGAATATTTTGTAGATGTGGATGTAAATTCAATTTGATGCAATTTGTGTTGAATTGGTTTATTTATGTGCATTTTCGTTCAATTTATTTCTCATTTGAATGTTGAAACTTTAGAGTGCTGTTGATACAGTTGTTGCTGATGCATTTGACTGTTAAAACAACGTAGCTGGAGGGTGTTGGCATCTGGAAGCAAAATGAGCTGAATTTTCGGTGGTTTCAATTCAAATTCAAGTTTAGAGAGCTGAAGTAGATAAGATCAAGTTACTTTATAGGTTATGTGATTCCATTTCAGATTTTGAAATGCTTTTCTTGATGTGTCATTTCTCAGCAAACTGTGGGGTTTTTATTGCTTATTTATATTTAGCGTTTGATTCTATCTAATCCAGGGAATTCACAGCTCGACACTACCTACCGAGAGCTAGGTACAGCCCACCGCTAAAGTAATGCGCGGTTTCACCAATTTCAACTGCATGGCAGTGCCTTTGACAAGATCTTTCCCATTCTGAATATTAACACAGGGACACTCAGATAGTGTTGTGAGTGGCGCTTACTTGGGGCCTGTTCCAGCACCTCCAGTAGAATTGACTGGAGGCTCTACCAGAGATTCCACTGGAGGCGCTGGAATGCAATCTAGAGATTTCTGGAGATTTGTGTCTCAGATACCAAAAGAATGACAATTTTTATAAAGTCTGATGGCCAAGAGTTGCGAACGAAAATTATAATTTAAATCTTTTTGTTTTTCAAATTTTGAAATACAAAAAGATTTAGATTTTAATTATAATTTTCGTTCGCAACTCTTGGCCATCAGACTTTATAAACATGTCTTACAATACTGGAGAATGACAATTGTTCTCTCTTGAAACACAAAATTTGTTTTCAATTTTAGTAAGAAGGATTAACAAAATTATAACAATGTAATTTTCTTTACATTCAAGTTGTAAAATAAGCAGTCAAAAGTCCTTTGTTTACATTCGTGATTGTCACATGTGCGCCATGATTGTAGACCAGAGCCTCCAGAGAAAGGGCCTCTTCCAGCGCCTCCAGTAGAAATTCTTGACTGGAGGCTCTACCAGAGGTTTCACTGGAGGCGCTGGAACGCAATCTGGAGATTTCTGGAGATTGGCATCACAGATACCAAAAGAATGACGATTGTTCTCTCTTGAAACGCAAAATTTGTTTTCAGTTTTATTAAGAAAGATTAACAAAATTATAACAATGTAATTTTCTTTGCATTCAAGTTGTAAAATTATCAGTCAAAAGTCCTTTGTTTACATTCGTGATTGTCACATGTGCGCCATAATTGTAGACCAGAGCCTCGAGAGAAATATGGACCTCCCAACTTTCTGGAGGCTACTGAAGGTTTCTGGAGCTTTGGCGAGAGCTTTCTGGAGCTTTCTGGAGGCGCTGGAACGCTCTCTGGAGGATTCTAGAGCTTTCTGGAGCGTTCTGGAGGTTTCTGGAGGCGCTGGAACAGGTCCTTTGGACCTCCCAACTCTCTGGAGGCTACTGGAGGTTTCTGGAGCTTTGGCGAGAGCTTTCTGGAGCTTTCTGGAGGTGCTGGAATGCTCTCTGGAGAATTCTAGAGCTTTCTGGAGGTTTCTGGAGGTTTCTGGAGGCGCTGGAACAGGCCCTACTTACCATGTGGCTGTCAGCCTCAGGAATAGGATTCTACATGGAGCTCTAAGCAGTGCTGCTCCAAAGGCCTGCTCCTAACTTGATAATGTGCTGAATTGCTATTTGTGCACATTGTCCTAGAGAATGATGCACTTTGATGGGAGACAAAATTGTCACTCAAGGAAAAATTCAAATAATTACCTTAACTTGTAGTTCTTACTATTAGGAATAAACATGCATCAGCTTCATTGTAAAATTTGTAGGCAGCATAAGGTGCAGGCTTTTACAATTCTTGAGCAATGTTGGTGTGGGCTGCTGAGAATTTGTCATCCTCCCTGGTACAACTCTTTGACTCTGATGCAGTACTTTGTACTTTGCAGTCTGGTCAGGTGGGCCAGGTACAATTTCTACAGGCTTGTTAGTGAGGGGAAAAGTAAGGAGACATTGAAGGGAAGATCCTGATTATTCCAATTCAGTTACTTATTCCTCTTCTACTGAAGCATGTCTCAACCCCTGATTGTCACCTTTCAGACTGAGACAACAGAACTATGAGTAAACTTGGCACTGGGATGTCAGCCTTCAAGTCCACTGTAGTTCTCAAAGTCTACAAATTCAAATCCTATGGGATGATTTTAGGCTTTATTTTGTGCATGTTATGGGTAATCCTGGTTGCCAGGATTTTAGGCATTTAGAAGCCAGCATTGAAAGTGCTCATTAAGCCAGAGATGGTGTGTTCCATTCGCTAGTTTCAACTGGCAGTGACTGCTCTGAAGAGCAGTATGAGAGCTCAGTGTTCTCTGGTGAGGGCAGTGTTCTCACCACTTTCAGTCAGTCCCTGTCAAAAATCTCCTTGTTTTTAGCATCAGTGCTCAGTCCAGGCCGTCCAGGCTCTCACTGTTAAGTGTTAGGAGTCCAAATTCCAGTGCTCTTCAACTTCCCACTGTACCGACCTCATCAAACTCAACTTGAAGCTGAACTTGATCCATGATTGTAGTCACTAGTTAGATTGACTGCTGTGTTCAGCTGATCACATATTTTGTGCCAGCCTCTTGGACAGTGGCAGATGCCTGGGTTGCCTGCAGTCAGACTCTCATTGGTTAGTGGTTCATGATGAACCACATACTAATGGCCAATGGGGTCCCTCACATCAGAGATGTACCTACCTGAAAGTGACTGCATTGACATTCTAAGTGCACTGTGCAAGAGCTTGCCAAGCGAGTGAACTATGTCAGGTCATGTATATAAGCTATGCAAGGCAACACTGAATGTTGCACCAATGTGTAGCAAGTCCAAACATCTATGTATCATGGATGTGGCACCAGAAGTGAAAAATGATTTAATTGGATGACTTTCAGGCTGAGCTTTCAAAATGGACAAGTCGTCGCCACAAAAAGGCTCTAAGAGGCAAAGATTTCAGCCTTTTGTTATAAAGAAAGGCATCGTGATGAGGGCCAAACAGCGACAGAAGATGGCGCTCGAGCTCTCCAAGTCGAGAAATGACAGTAGTGAGTACAACCATTCACATTTTACATACTTTCTACAATGATTGCATGCTTTGTTTGTGCTTTGCTCTTGGGACATTACTCACATGTTGTATTGTGTGCAAAGTCAACATCACTTTCAAGTTTCAACATCACTTTTAACCAGGGCTGTGGATTCTATAGATTTTCAGTGACTCCACCTCCCACTCTGGCTTCCGAAAATCGACTCCGACTCCGACTCTGGGCCGAACTATCGACTCTGACCGACTGCAACTCCTACTCTGACTCCGCAGCCCTGTCAGGTCTGCAGAGTCGATGGATTTTCGGTAACTCCTACTCCGGTCAAAAATGTCGACTCCGACCGACTTCGACTCTGACTCCGACTCTGCAGCCCTGCTTTTAACATCACACCAACATCAACGACAACATCACTTTAGTGCCTTTGTGGTTTGGTTAAGTGATATGTATCCTTGCTCATTATGGTTGTTGCAGTTTCCTGACCTAATTCTGTATTTGTTTCAGCCACTTTTAATGACCCGAAGCTTTCACAGTTGAAATACAACAACCGATCTTTGTCGAAAGCTCTTTCCGAACAGAAGATGGAAAACAAAACCCTGTAAGTCTACCTAAACCATTTGTCATCCTCTTTTAATTTGGTCAATGAGCACGTTTGAGTGATCGAACTGGAGTTTTCAATACTTCGTGTATCTTGACAAGTGTTATGTTCCATTCGATGTCGTCTTTTGTTAGCTTTCTAACCATTGCTACACATTGATCAGTTGAGCTTGCCACCACTTGCTCGGAGTAAGTGTTGTTCACATGATTCATAAATCATCTTGCAGGCAGTGTTTAATGGTTTTGATGTGTAAATGATAGACGAATCATCCATTTGATGTCAATTTGTCGTCATGTACGACCTTCCTCTCATCTCGCGATGGCAGGCTGGACGAGAAGATACAGCTGCAGCGGGACCTGTTTGCTAACCACGAGATCATCATCGCGCTGCGCAGCGAGCTCCAGGTCAGACGCGCGGCGCAGACGGGCGCGGCGCGTCCCAAACTACCAAACTGCCAAACTGCTTGTGTCGAGCACGATCTCGAGCTAAAGAGCACACCTGGCAGACCAGGAATTCTTGTTCTACCTGGCATTGCACTTTTGTTCTTAAATGCATCCGACATGTCACAGGTCCGGCTGTGATATAAGAAACGGACGGAACCTGTTTAGCATTTTACCTGTTAGTGCTAGCGTCACGGTTTTCTACATAACCCAGCGGTTGTAGATGTGTTCCATATGTACCTATCTCCTGCGCAGCTGACCCCCTCCCCCTCCCGTTGGCAGACCCACGAGGACGACCTGCTGCAGATCCACGAGGTGTTCCGCAGCTCGTTACAGCTGCTGGTTACGCTCACCAGTCACCTGAACGTGGGTCTGCAGCGGTGCACGGCCGGCCGCCGGCGCAGCAAGTCGGTCAGCCTGGGCACCGCCAGTCAGCCGGCGCGGGCCAGCCGTGGACTCAGCCTCGGAGTCCAGTCGGGGAGCGGTCAGTAGGGGGACAGCCGCGGGCTCAGCCTCGGAGTCCAGTCGGGGAGCGGTCAGTGGGGGACGGGGGGCAGCCGCGGACTCAGCCTCGGAGTCCAGTCGGGGAGCGGTCAGTGGGGGCGGGGGGACAGCAGTAGCGGTCTCAGCCGCAGAGATCAGTCGGGGAGCGGTCAGTAGGGGGGGATGGGACGGTGTGGGGGGACAGGGGCGGGCAGTAGTGGACGGGGGGGGGGGGCAGTAGCGGACTCAGCTGCAGAGTCCAGTCGGGGAGCGGTTAGTACGGGGCAGGAGTAGAAAATGCTCGTGGGTGGGAAATTGTTTGAAGGACTTACCGCAGAATTGACGATAGGTCAATCGCTGTCGAAGTTCTGAGCACAACGCTCGTGTGATGTGAAGTGTTTCGCATTGCTGCTGTTTCTCTAGTTCCGTGCTGCGTCTGTGCGGCTATCGTTCACCCTATGTGTTCAGTGTCTAACCACCTCCGTGTAGCGCCGCCTGACCTCCCGTCCCCCCCCCCTCCCCCTGTCTCAGACGGCGGCGTCGGCTCGCCCCGGCAGTCCGGCGGCGGTCGCAAGCTGCACAAGGTGCTGCCCACGGTGGCCGGTAACGTCATCTCGCACCCGTCGATCGTGCTGCCGCGGCTGCCGGCCGGCGGGTGGCTGGGCGCCGGCGCGCACCGCGGCGCCGCCGAGCCGCCGGAGGACGAGGAGCCGCCCGATGAGGAGGAGGACGAGGACGAGGAGGACCCCGAGCCGCTGCCCGGTGAGGAACGGGGCGATTAGGGGGATACGGAACGGGAGATATTGTGTGCGGGATACGGTACTTATTTATAAAGTCCTATGAGTTTACAGTTTTATTCTTATACAAGTAGCAGTTGATGTTGCTACCAGATAAATGTCTGGGGTATTTATTCATCATCATGCGGCGCGCTTCAACCTTTGCTCACGTGACTAAGCATGACATTCGACGTGGGGGTTATGTGTGATATAAAATCGTTCGAAAATACTAGCATTTACCAGCTAGCTTTCAGCTGACTCTGCTCCGCCTATCTATTTCCGCCGGCAGAGCCGGTGGAGCGGGGCGTGCCGGTGTCCACACCGCTGGCCGACCTCTCGGTGATCCTGGAGCAGTCGGTGCTGGACGCCGAGCCGACCGCCAGCCCGGCCGGCCGCCGCTCCGGCCCCGGCCTGCCGCTCGCCCAGGTCGTGGTTCCAGCCGAGGAGCGGTTGTTTGGAGACGAGGCCTGGATGCGACAGCGCACCCCCGGCCGGGAGCGCGTGGTCGTGGCCGCCGAGGAGCGGCTGAACGGTGACGAGGCGTGGCGCAGGCAGCGCTGCCGCGGCCCGGCCAGAGTCGCAGTCGCCGCCAACGAGAGACTCTCCGGCGAGGACTCGTGGCACCACAGTGACTCGCTGGAGTCGCCGGGGGCGGCTGCGCGGCGCTCGCAGTCCCGGCCGAGCCAGGGGCGGCCGGCGGACGGCCCGGCGGCCGCAGAGGTGGCCGCGGAGGGGACGGCCTCGCCGACAATGCCGCCACCGACAGCAGTACCGACAGTGGCCCCGGCAGCGGCGGCGGCACCCGCGGCCGCGGGAGCGGGGACGTCGGCGGGCCGGCGCGCTCTGGTCTTCTCCGACTCGCCGCGGGAGACCACACTCTGCAACGGAGACGGTGAGAGCCACTGTGAGATGGAACTGCAGACTTGCTTTACTTTAGCTCACTCCCGGTGAAGGTCTTTGTGAGTTGATAGTGGTGGGCTCAGGGCAATGTTTTTTCATATCCCTGTAGCCAGTTTGGTATTTCATTGGCAAACGATTGGAGCTTTGGGAGTGATAGTCACCTCTATTTGCAGCTGTCCAACATACCTAACTTTTGAACACAAGTGACTGGTTGCAGTTAGCAGTAAATTATGTATCGGTAGCAAACCGAGCCGCGGCTATCAGCACCTCTAACCAGACTAGTGTCTCCCACCTGCCGTCCTGTGACCGGCCTCCCTACCCTCCTCCCGCAGTGTCGATGACTGCCGTCACCAGCTCGGCCACCGCCGCTGTACCCGCCGGCGATACAAGTGTCGCGGTGTCGGCGGCGGACCTGGAGGAGTCTGTGGTAATCCAGCGGCGCACCCAGCGGCCACGCGCCGCCCCGCGGCCCAGCACCGCACGTACGTGTCAGGGGAGGGAGTCAATCCTGTCCAGCTGTTGATGCCTTTCTCACGTACTGAAAACTTTGTTATAGTTTTGCTGTTTTATCTTGATGTAGACATGCAAGATTGCTCAGCGCCACCATGCAGCTCTTCCCTAGTATTTGTTCCATGTAGTTAGCTTGTATTGTTCGTTATTTCCGACGCGACTTTATACGGCGCTGTTGTTGAAAGAGCTGTTTTAAATTATCTTGCAGCCGTACCTGTTCCTGATGTCGCTGATGAGACCATGGTGGACGCGTCCGAGACGCCCGAGCCCGTCACGGCCACCACCTCTGCCGATCCAGACGAGTCGCTCATCATCTCCCGGCGGCCGGCGTCTCCCGGCGCGGCCGAGCAGACCGTCTGCGCCTCTCCGGCCGCCGCCGACCCGGACCCCGACGAGTCCGTCATCCTGTCCCGGAAGCCGGCGGCGGCGCGCCGGCCGGCCCACAGAGCCCCCTCTGCCGAGCCGGTGGCGGAGACGACCACCGTGTCGCGGCGGGCGGCGGTGGCGGCGGCGGCAGCCGTCTCGCCGCCCGCTGAGGAGGCCGACCAGTCGGTGGTGATTAGTCGCAAGGTGCGCCGCCAGCCGCGCACCTCTGTGGCGCCCGCCGAGCCGGCGGAGGAGGACGGCGACCAGTCGGTGGTCATCTCCAGGAAGGTGCGCCGGCCGCGCTCCGTGGCTGCCGCGGTGCAGGAGGCGGCGGAGGACGCGGGACAGAGTACCGCTGGTGTGAGGACAGAGACGGAGACGGAGACGGCTGCCGCGGAGGCCGCGCCCCAGACCCACACCGGCAAACAGCGCGGGAAGCGGAAGAGCAAGGCGGTGCGAGGGAAACGGAAGGCGGCGCAGGCTGGTTAGTAGCAATGGGAATGTGGGCTTGCGTTCATTTCGTGATTTGGTCGTTAGAATTAGTATAAGGCTATGATCGGTTTCGTCCATGCCACGCAATTAGTTCACGTGTAAATATGTTATGTTCTGCAACATCCGCCATTTTTCCCTGGAAACGGCGGTTTGACAATCGCGAACGGTGTTTAAAGACGTTATTCGTCCTCCACCATCTTATCAAAATGCTTTTCCGTTCTCCTCGGCCAATACCATCGTCCACCACACCCTGATTGTGATGACTGACAAATTGCTTCTCTCTGACCCTTCCAGTGGCTCCGGTGATAGAGATATCTGACGCACCCAGCGACGCCGCCCCCACCACCGCCACCACTACCACTACCACCACCACTACGGACGCCACGACCACTACCGATCCCACCACCGCTGACGCCTCTACCGCCACCACTACAGACGCCACCGCCGCCGCCGCCGCCGCCGCTGATGTTCTCAACGCGTCCGTCATTTCGCGAGAGGAGGCGACGCCCAGTCCGGAGCTGGGAGTCAAAGAGCGATACCGACACATGCTCGCCAAGCGGGTGAGTTTCAATCAACGGTTTGCTTCTCTCCTCCGACCAGCCGGCCAGCAGTTACCGGAGCTTCCCGCAAAGCATACCGGTCCTGCGCAGTGTAATTATCATAGAACATTTGATAAAAGGATACTTGTGGGATGCATACATATTTTACATATGAACGTGTTGCTTATTTTAGCCTACTAATTTGCGATTTGTCTCACTGTAACAAGGTGCATGTATGATCCCGGGTATTTCTCGTATGGTCTAACTACAGCAAGTGACAGTGAGCTGACTTTTGTTTGTTTGTTTTGTTTGTTTTGTTGGGTTAGGCCCTTTCGGTCTAATGGGACCATTTCAGAGCCGGGAGGATGACAGGATATAGGGGGAGACATTGGTCTGGGCAGGCACCCTAGTGAGTCGCCGGGGCTGAGCCTGTCCAGAGGACAGGCCACCCAGCCCCAAGGCACTCACTGCACCCGGCTACGGGGTGCGCTCCCTCGGGAGCAGCGGTGCCGCTCCAAGGGAGCAGCCCGCATGAGATAAAGTTGCCTGTCCAGCCCGGAAGGGGGTTGCGGCGTGGAGGAGAAGGATTTCTGTATCCTGAGGATAGAAGCACGGAAAGGTGGATCTGACTCCAGTATGCCCCGTACAGACTGTATCTGCGCCCAAATTGTGTCTGACCTGTGACACTCTGTCCCGCTCGCAGTCGCCGCGGGCGGCGGCCAACAGTCGCGTGGCGCCGGCGTGCGCCGACGATCCGCTGGAGGGACCGAGCAACCGCGTCTGGTTGGCGGCGCCCTCGCCGGCGGGCCGGCGGCCACGTCCCCGACCGCGCTCCGCCCGGCCGGCCACGCCCGAGACGCCCAGCGGTCGAAAAGACAAGCAGAAGGAGAAGCCGGACTTCAAGCTGTCCTCGTCCCCGGTGGTGATGATGGACCGGTCGTCTGTCTCTGCCGCCGCGGACTCCTCCGAGCCCGAGTTTCGGCGGCCCGCCGCCCCCGCCCCCGCCCCCGCCCCCGCCGCCGAGGACACCAAACCGGGCCGGCGCCGGCGCACTCTGGATGATGCCGCCGCCGGCGATGGCGTCAGCGTCACCAACGGCGCGGGCGATGACGGCGGTGACGGTGGGCCGACGATGACGCCCCCGGCCGCCAAGCGCGGTCGCGGCCGTCCCAAGGGTCAGGGGAGTCGCGCCGGTCGGGGTCGCGGTCGGGGCCGGGGTCGGGGTCGTGGGCGGCCCTCGATGAATGTCGAGCCGGCGCGGGACGCTGAGGGTACCGGCGCGGAGCTGTTTGTGTACCCGGAGCTGTCGCCCGCGCCGCCGGAGCCGAACGGCGAGACGGCCCTGCTGGCGTCTCCTCAGTCGCGCCGGACGCCATCGCCGCGGCGGAGGGCAAACAGACAGGGGGACGCCGGCCCCACCGCTCCCGCTGACACCGCCGGCGGGCCGGCTGACGGCGTCGAGGCGCCCTCGTCGACAGCAGTGGTGCCGGAGACGGGCGGCGGACGGCCGGCGGGCGCCGAGCCTGACTCTGTCTGCGCCGAGTCGCCGACCAGGCCCGTGGAACTGGCGGAGCCCACCTCCACCACGGGCTCGCCGCCGGTCGCCGAGTCTTCCACAGTAGTCGGAGCGAGCTCCAGCCCGCCGCCGGCCCGCCCGGCCGCGACGCAGGCCTCCGACAGTGTGCCGCCGGCGTCTGTCGAGACCGGGCTGTCTGGGCAGTCCGAGCAGCCGCCTAACCAATCCGAGCAGCCGCCCAGCCAGTCAGAGCAGCCGCCCGAACAGCCGCCCGCGCTGGCCGCGCAGCCGCCCGAGCAGCCGCCGGAGCCGCCAGCGGCCGACGCGCCGGCCGCGGTGCCCGACTCGCCCGAGACGCTGCCATGGGCGGTGATGCGGCCGCCGGCGCCCGACAGCCCGGTCCGCTCGACGCCGCAGAGCAGCCCTGGTTCAGAGGACCTGGCGGGGGAGCGAGCCGTCGGCAGGCGGCGACGGAAACCCGTCTCCTACGCAGAGCCCAGCCTCACCAAGTGAGTAACAGGTGTGGGGATGCGGTGAGTTTCTGGACGGAATAGTAAACAATGAGACGGAGTAGTAAACATCGACCATGCTGATCGCTAAATTTTCGCTTCCATTTTAGATTTGTCTCGTATCCTCGCTCATGTTTGGACTTCGTATCATTATACTCCAATATCTTTTACTAGCTGATGACAGTTTTTTATATATTCAATGATTTTTTTCTTCTTTTGACAGAACTGTTTGGCCGAATTAAATTGTAGTCGATGTTTATGGTGCTAATGTGATCTGTTTAATTACATTGTTTGCTTCCAATCTCCGTTCTTTTCGATGTCACTCTTTGTGACTGACGTTCCCCTACCACAATGACCGTGTGTTTCTCCGTCTCGCAGGAAACTGAGGAGATAAGGGCGCCCATCCGCGGCGTCCCGCCCTCCTCCCGGGAGCACTGCGCTCTCTGCTGCTGCTGGGGCGACTGTGGACTGAGTGACTCGGACGGGTGACTCCGACTCACCGGTCTGACCTACCCGCGCACAGCGTACCACGGCCTTTGTGAGGCCGAATAATACCGACCAATCGTGTCCAAACACTCCTCTGAACTGTGAGAGCGAAGACCCAGACTGTTCATCCCAGATCGGGCATTTGCGGGAATGAAGTGAGAATACACCCTCGCCGCTGTTTTCGCTTCCTGCGGAGAAAGCACCAGCTTTTCTGCTGCGGTGGAGATTGTACCTTTGGTTCCACCAGTTCTGAGGTCCATAATGCTTTATGTTTGTGATGCCGATGTTTTTGACTCGCCGTTCCGTGCCGGCAGGACGTAGCGAGTGCTCTGGTAGGTTTTAGTTGGTCGTTTGGGTGTGTTGTGCGCTGCACTCTGGTCGAAGGATCAGCGGACGTGGCGGTATCTTTAGTGCGCGACGTGGACTGTCGTTAGCCGCGCAACCCGATCTACTGTGGGCCGTCGGCCTCGGAACAGAAACGAAACGATCTGCTGGGGAGGGCGCGCGGACATCTTACCTGCGTCGCCAGACGATGGTGCGGTAGATTATGCTCAGATTTCAGTTATCCTGCTTCCTTCAGTTGAAGGCTCCTTTTCTTACCTTGAATTCCGAATTGCCATCTCCACGTCATCTAGCAGCATCTGGACAGGACGTAGAAAGATGCTGAGCGTAACGCAAAGCTGTGGTCAGGTCAGGGCAGTTTCTAGTGCTAGCAAACTGATAATCCCTGGAGTTGATTGTTGACAATGCTGACCCAGTGTTGATCGATAAATAAACGTTTTCCCCATTGATAAATGATTGTGCAGGAATCGTCTGGTGTTAAAGCGAGAACTGTTTTTACTCTTCTCGCACGAGGGCTGAATCAGGGTACGCGGGCCCGCGGCTGACGAATGCTGGAATGTTTTATGGCAGCTGTACTGCAGCAAGTGCCTTCTTGCTATTCACTGTTGTATGTAGAACGCAGATAGAGATCTGCCTATCTATAAGAATCTTGGATCTGCCAACGTCTCAAATCCACAAAGGCGCATCCCATTTTTGATTATTGTTTATGCTAGAAACAAAATTAATATGCAACATTTGATTGTTTGAATGATAAGAACATCAACCCTTCTTCATTTCTTCATCGTTTCGTTACTGGAGCATTAAAAAGAAGCAATCAGTTTCCATTCCTCGCCAATTTACCACACCGTCATAAATTACTGGGGACTTATTTTATTTAGTAGTCGTATCCACTTTCTCCTTCAATATTTGTTACGATTCTGGTGGCCGGGTGGCAATGGGTGCGGACAGTGCGATTCTGTTCAATAGCTGAATTGTGCTGATAGTCTTTTACGCTGAATGTGCAGTTGCCTAGCATCTCGCAGAGAAAATAAGCTTATGGTTCAATAAAAGCAAGTTGCCTAGAAACATGCGAGTGACTCTTTCTTCTTAGAACAGCCTAAAAATCTTATTCGGGCGAAGTGATTATTGATAAAGGGAGGAAGATAGGAGGCAGGAGGTGAAGTTGATGGTGTCTTTGAGATTGGTAAGAATCTTTCGTTTTATTATAGCGTTGCGCAAATTATTGTATGAAGCTTAAAATTCTGAATTCATGTGTTATTCAAATAATTGATCATTAAGATTTGGTAAGATTCAAAACCGTCACACATGCTGATTGGAGGCGACTTCAACGTTCCCCAAATTGACTGGGCCAATGTTTTCTCTCCAGAACCAGAAGGCCACTACTCTCACTACTTGATCAAGTGTGTTCAGGACTGTTTCCTCACCCAGCATGTGGCAAGACCCACCAGATTTAGACCAGGGCAGCCCCCAAGCACCCTTGATTTGCTTCTCACCAATGAAGAAGGCATGATGAGAAACTTAACTTACATGCCAGGCTTGGGTCACAGTGATCACATTTCTCTGAGGTTTGAATTAGCATGCTACACGGAACGACGGACGCCTGATGCTGTGCCAAACTACAACAAGGGCAACTACAACCTTTTGAGGGACCTGGTTGGGGAAGTTGATTGGTCGAGGATGCATGATAGCAACGTGCACCAGGCCTACAGCTTCTTCAAGGAATCCCTGCAAGATGCAATCAAACAATCAATTCCACCAGCAAGGCCCAGGTCACGCAAGAACTTGTACATTAATGGCAGGGCAATGAAGCTCAAAAGGAAGAAGGCTTCTCTGTGGCGAGCCTATGCACAATCAGGAGATCCCTTCGATTATGCCCGATACTGCCACTGTCGCAACATGCTTCGCAGCCTCACAAGGAAACTTCGAGCTGAATTTGAACAAAGAATCTCTTCTGAGCTGAAATCCAATCCAAAAGTGTTTTGGAAGTACGCAAACTCGAGGCTGAAAACCAAGCCTGGCATAGAGGACCTGAAGGATGAAAATGGTCACCTGTGCACCGATGACACGATGAAGGCTACAGTTCTAAATAACTTCTTCTCTTCAGTATTCACAGACGAAGATCTAGCCGCTGTCCCAGTCTTGTCTCCCGGGGGCTCACCTGCTGAGGCTGTGGATCTCAATATCACCGAGACCATGGTTGAAAGACTACTGCAAGGTTTGAAAACCTCCAGTTCTCCCGGCCCGGATGGAATCCACCCGAGAATATTGAAGGAGGCAGCTGGACAGTTGGCTCGGCCCCTCACTATTCTGTTTCAGAAATCCATTGACACTGGGTCATTACCAGATGATTGGAAGCTTGGCACTGTTGTCCCAATTTTCAAGAAGGGTAGCAGGCAGGAACCAGGCAACTACCGTCCTGTGAGTCTGACTGCCATACCATGCAAGATACTAGAGTCACTCATCAGAGACCATATCATGACTCACCTCACCGCCAACCAACTTCTGCACAGCGACCAGCATGGATTTAGGCCTAGGCGCTCATGCACCTCTCAGCTCCTGGAAGTGATCGAGGATTGGTCTCTGTGCTTAGAGAATGGAGAACCGGTCGATGCCATATACCTTGATTTTAAAAAAGCATTTGATTCGGTGCCCCACCAGCGTTTACTGAGCAAGCTGGAGAGCTATGGCATCGCGGGAACTCTCAAGAGATGGATCGCCTCATTCCTTCAAGATCGCCAGCAACAGGTTGTGGTGAGAGGCTGCTCCTCTCCATGGGCACCAGTCACTAGCGGCGTGCCTCAGGGCTCTGTTCTCGGCCCTACCCTGTTTATGTTATATATTAATGACCTGCCCAGAGTTGTCGACAGCGCCATCAAGATTTTTGTTGACGACACAAAGATATACCGTAGTGTGTCTCACAGCAGTGGGTCAGAGGAACTCCAGAGGGATCTTGAGGCGGTCATCACATGGTCTGACAGGTGGCAGCTCCCATTTAACGATGCTAAATGCAGGTCACTTCATGTGGGACCGAGAAACCCCTGCCATACCTACAAGATGGGTGGAGCCGAACTAGAGCATACTCGTGCAGAGAAAGATCTTGGAATCTTCCTTGATGATGAGCTGAAGTTCCGCATGCAAGCCGCTGCAGCATCCTCAAAAGGAAACCAGTTACTTGCTCTCATCAAGCGATCCTTTCTTTGTATCGACAGGGTTACCCTACCCTTGCTGTTCAAGACACTTGTAAGACCCCACTTAGAGTATGGCAACCTGATATGGGGACCCTTCAACCGAGCCGACCAAAAGTTGATCGAGCGAGTGCAGAGGAGAGCCACAAAGCTTGTTCAGGACATCAAGCACCTACCATACCAGGAGCGCCTCAAATGCCTGAGCCTGCCATCCCTCTACTACCGAAGGAGAAGGGGTGACATGATCGCCATGTACCAGATCTTCAGTGGAGGTTTAGATGTCCAACCTGAGAAATTCTTCACACCTGCCCCTGGAGTTGGTACAAGAGGTCACAACAAGAAGTTGAGGAAGCCCCAGGCCCAATCAAGAGTCAGAAGACACGCACTTTCAACAAGAGCTGTGAATGACTGGAATGCGCTTCCTCCTTCTGTGATCCTGGCATCCACTCTCAACCAGTTCAAGGCCAGATTGGACGATCACTGGAACCGAATCAAATACTTCATCCCAGATTAGTATCCACGAGAGTCCTCAGTTCAGGAGCTCGATGCGAGCGGGACCCTACAGGCCATAGTGGCCATCAAAATTCCCGTATTGGTAAGGTAAGGTAAGGTAAGATTGGGCCCATTTGGGGGGGGGGGTTAAGGTGTTTGTAATACAGGGCCTTGGTATCATGTTGGATTGTTGTTATGATGTTATTTTCAGAGTTTCCATGTTCAGGTACATACGGTATCAGCATTAGGATATTAGCTTGAGCACCGTCATCTGAAAGCTTTCATAATTTTTTTCATTGCAATAAAATCTTGCAGTTTTATTTAGATGATTAAGGCTTCAGCCTTCAGACGTGTCGTTTTCATTGACATACCCCGTGTTCGGTGTCTCTGGGATGATGCAGATTCTACATTGTCCGGCCAATCCCGTTCAAGGTCAGTGGGGCTTGGCTGAGTTATGAAACTAGATTGGCAGGACGAAGTAGGATCTTCGCCGTTTGAGAGATTCTGAATGCGGGGATAGATTGAAATGGTAGGTATCGATTTGTCAAGCCTGTGTATCAATAATTAGGGATAAAGAAAATATGCATTGGAAAGTATTTGTCTTTATCTTCATCTTCTTGTTATTGGGACAAGATGTGTGATGTCCTGTAGGGCCTGTTCTTGCCTATTTATAGGTATATCTTAAGTTAAATCTGTACTTACTTGGAAGCTGAAGTTGAGTGCCAGATCCACTCCCAGTATGCATCCAGCCTGTACTCTAAGGTGTTGACTGAAGGTGAATGTACAATAGCTGCTTGAAGTCCTTTCCTATCATTAATACACCATACAGATAATGAATTTATTCTAGCACTGCAAGTTGCATGGCCCATGGCCCATTGGGCTTGCAAAGTTTCAGTGTGTGACCCCTTGTTTGACTTTCATAGTTCACTGCCAGAAGCTCTGAAGGATTGGTGGCAACATGGCTGTGCAGCATCTTTTAGATGTGAATTGTTAACTTTTTCCACCTTTCATCAAAGTCATGAAAAGTCTTGATCTTTTTTATTTTTGCCAAACCAAAGATTTTTATGGGAATCAATTATACTCAGATTTTAAGAGAATTAGATAAAGTTGTGGACTGTCCAATTGGCTTGGGCAGTTACTGGCCAAAGAAGTAAGCTTCAGCCCTCAATGACCCTTAGAACACAGTCATTGATTAGGTATTCCATCCATGATTAGGAATACTTCTATCCATGGAATACTTTATCCATGACACATTCCTCTTTCACCATCTATTATAGTTTTGGTTTTTCTCAACCTGCAGAGAGGCTAGTCTGTCTTGCTATGTTCGACTTTTTGTCCTTGAGGACTGAGGAGTCTGCTTCTAATGCCTGGTTTAGGCCTTTTATTTAGACAGGCTGTTCTCAAGGCTTTAAGGAAACAGTTGGTGTGGGCTTAGTCATTAGTTATAGAAGGATTGCTGGTGTGTCTAGCTAGGTGATGTGGGTACTGATTCTGTGTGATATCAAAACTCACTTTTACTACTGACATTTTATTTTCAGAGGGATTGGTACTGGCAGTAGAGGCTGAGAAGAACATATAAGTTATCAAACCTGTCCAGTATTATCTTACTCAATCAAACACACCCTCCTAACTATGGTAAGCTGCTTGGTTGGGGGCACAACTGAACTGTCAGGTACCTTGTTAGTGGCTCTACTTTGATTACTTTTAGCCTAGCAGTGCAATTGAAAATCCTGACGAGTTCAGCTTTTAGATCAAGATGTGAATGTTTTCTCTCTCTCTCTCTAAAAAAATGACCTACCTCAACTACCTTTTTCTTATTGTTGGCCATGAATGTGCTTGGTGAATCAGCACTCAGCAGTTTATTGACATGCTGGCAGTGTAATATGCATGGTCAGGAATGTTTCAAAGTGTCACCCAAGTGGTTTTCAGCATTCTTTTGAGTGTTCCGTGGCTGATACCTGATGCCTACGTTATTAACAACAATGTGTGTGTTGTCACCAGGCGGCCACTCTGAAGCCCTATCTGACTGCAGTGAGGCACACTCTGACTGCCGCCATGTGCCTAGAGGATTTCTCCTCACAGGTCGTGGAGAGGCACAACAAGCCGGAGGTCGAGGTCAGGTGAGTCATCACATCACTCACCACCAAACTCATAAATCTGTAGGTGCTGCTTTAATTAGAATGAAGATTGCACACTTTCATGGGTTAAATTCCCAGCTTCTTTCAGTGTTAGCTTGATAGCTTGCATCTGTTAGCATGACCGCGGTGAGCAAAAGTATTCATGGTTTTTCATCGGCCCTGTCGTTCTGGCTCATATTGACCATTGTGTCCTTTAGGCTCAAGACGTGTCCTGATATATTGTTCTGGATTCTGACCTCCCTCCGGCTGGACTCGTTTTCATCCCGTCAGGACGAGCAAGGAGCTGCTGCTCACGCCCGTTACCATCTCCCGGAACGAAAAGGAGCGCGTCCTCATCGAGTCATCCATCAACTCGATCCGCGTCAGCATCGCCATCAAGCAGGCCGACGAGATCGAGAAGATCCTCAGCCACAAGTTCATGCGCTTCATGATGATGCGCGCCGAAAACTTTGTCATCCTGCGGCGCAAGCCGGTGCAGGTAGGCGGGGCCTGGGCTGAGTGAAAGGCACCGGCGACGGCAGAAATAGTTATGTTTTGTTGATATGATAAGAATGTAGTGTATTTGTAAGATGCTTCTCCGTAGTCCCTAGTATATTACTATAATTCGCCCAGTAATGTATGAACGTCCCTGCGGAACTCCGACTCTTCCCCGCACGTCCTATGTTAGACCGACGGCGACTGTGCAGCAGTGCCTCTCACCGTTGACCCCATCCGCAGGGATACGACATCAGCTTCCTCATCACCAACCACCACACGGAGGCCATGTACAAGCACAAGCTGGTCGACTTCCTAATCACCTTCATGGAGGAGATTGACCGCGAGATCAGCGAGATGAAGCTGGCCGTCAACGCGCGCGCCAGAATATGCGCAGAGGAGTTCCTCAAGAGGGTGAGAATTGCAGAATCACAAAAACGTATCGGTTAACGCAGGCGGTCAGTTTGCAGTTTTACTCTGCCAGCGTTTCGGTAATGTGTTGTGGATACATTACGAAAAAATACACTATCGTCTGTGGAATGGGGTGACGTAACATAACAATATCGTTAATTTTCTCGCCTGTTGCGATTTACGACTCAGTTAGGTGGTAGCACGAATAACTGATAACATGAATTTCAATTGGATGCTAGATGTGTCTATGTACTGCGGGAAATTCACCTAGTTTACGTCATCTTAGCAGCTTGTTAAATGATTGCCTTCTTCAATACCTCGTTCCTCGGTGAACCAGATCCACGTACTAAGGGATAACAAGGTGCTGCGCTAATGGTATGCTACAAAACGCCGTTGATGTCATGGCCCATGATTGCTTTTAATCACTGGCTGCCACTTCCCTGACATACTTCGTGTACCGTTTTGTCGTTTCAGTTTTAGCGGCGCTGTGGACGGCCCCGTTCTGTGGAGTTTCTGAGAGCTGCCGTGCCGAGTTCGGTACCGCGTATGCGCTGGCGTGGCGGGCGTCTCTTCCGACTCCCACCCCGCCGTACAATAAGGGAGAACCCTTCCGCTACAACGCAGCGGAAGAGAGAAGGAAGCGGCTCGACCCGGTGCCGGGCAGTGTGATTACTGGAGAGGTGCCGGACTACACCGAGCGCCCGGCGGTCCTGCAGAACCGCCGGTCGGCGCCCGGGGTGTGAGTGGTCATGATCCAAAGGGAGATGATACGTGATTCCAGGAATTATTTTATACCGTGCTTACGACCACGCAAGTACCGATCAAACCATACCGTTAATCCGAATCGCCCGTAGTGGGTGGCTCATGCTTGCCGGTAGTGCCGCCACGGCAGTTGCTCGCTTTCCGTTTAGCCCGTTCGCTCGCTTTCATCGATTCGCTTGGCTTATGTGACGGTCGTGTGTAGATGACGATCGTGATCGGACGGTGCGTATATCGTGTATTTTCTGTCACTTTATAATATACATGTTGAAATATTAGTTTTAAATGTTTTTTAAACTGCACATTTACGACATCTTTATTGCCAGTCACGGGAGCATTCCGTTTAGTTGAGATAAGAGACGGACATGAGCTGGCATTGCCACCGGTACGTCGGCGAATTATCATAGTTTTAACCACGATACTCAACTTCATCAATATTTAACAGTCAACTGACTGAGTGACACTGCCGGCCACGTACAATTATACAAAACAAGATTTGATGAGTGTAAGCAATAGATCACAACCATTGAATATAAATCCCTCTATTAGCTTCTAGGTGTGTAATCTGACGGCGTCTGCCTTCTGGAACGTTTTGCGGCAGGTGCCGCACTCTGCCGCCTTGGGAAGGCGGAGCAGGCAGGCGCGACAGGCGGCGTGCGCACAGGGAAGAGAGTACAGGTTGCGCTCGGCGCCGCAGCCGCAGGCGGGCGCCGTCGGAGCCGCCGGCCGCGGCTGGAACGACTTGAGTCCACTGAGGGCCGACCGCAGGGCAGTGTCCAGGTCCCCGGCCGATGTCCCGTCAGCCGTTCTGTCACTGCCGGGGCCGGGGTCCGCCGCCCGCGGGTCGTAGGCGGCCCGCTGCGCCGGCGGCGCAGTTGGCGGTGCCGGGGACGCCGACCGTTTGGCGCGGCCCACGGTGCGGCCGACCGCGGCCAGCTCCGGCGCCGCGCCGGCGTGCTCGAACAGAAAGTGGTCGATGCGCGCCTTGAGCGCGGCGTCCGGCACGGGCCGCGCGCCGCCGCCGAACGGCACGCCAGAGAACGGGTCGCTGGGCGGGCGGCCCCAGCCGGCCTCGGCGCGCTCGTGGCGCTCCAGCGTGCTGCGGTCCACCGTCTGACCAGAGGGAAGCACCATCGGCAGCAGCATCACCTCGCACGTGATGGGGTCGACGAACTCCTCCGGCGGAGTGGGGCCGGTGCGCTCCACGGCCGCGCGGACCGCCGCGGCGCGGCTCTCCCGCTCCCGCGCCAGTCGCTGCTCGCCAGACTGTGGTGAGGCCGCCGGCGCCGGCTGACTGGGAGTGCTGGCTGCCGCCGCGGCCGCCCGCTGGCTTAGCGCGGCTCTCAGCGCCGGGTGGCTCGGCTCCGCGGCCACCGCCCACACGCGCAGACTGCTCAGACAGAGCGCGCTGGGGCCGCGCGCGCGGGTCAGCCTCACCCTGAGGCGCGCCACGCGCCTGAGCGCTGCGCGGTCCCGACATCTGAGCGGCAGGCGCAGCGCGGCAGGGGGCGGCCCGGAGCCGCCGCGGCCGCCGCACGCCGCACCGTTCACAAACGACACCTCGTCAGGTGGCGGCTGGCCGTGCTGCTCCCAGAGAGAGCCAGCTGGCTGCCAGTCGTCACTGCCTGGGCCGGCCACCAGCAGCTGGACACTGGTAGTGTGCTGCTGACTCAGCCTCAGACATATCCGCACCTGGCGCAGTTCTACGGGGCAGCAGAACTCGAGCGTGAGTGTCACAGGCGGCCGCACAAAGCCCGCAGCCAGAAATCCTCTGCTAGCAGGAGACAGGAGGTTCTCTGCTTCAAACCCATCACTGGTGGCAGAACTGGCTGAAATGGACTGGCAGAGGCCACCAGAGCAGAAGTCCAGAGGCTCTTGTGACATTTTATCACTGCAATGAAGGGCAAGAATTCATGAAGTTAGAGAATCCACAAACAAATATACACAGCAGGTGAAAAGGTTATCAAATCTGATATGCCCTAACCCATTTTTGGCATAACATACCAGGACAGGAAGTTGAGTACTTAACTACACCCATATATACCGTGACTACACCTAAAAATGTAAGCATGCCAAAAGCGTCGTTGGCAGACTGAATACAGCTTGCATGCAAGTTGCGAAATACAGAAGGTTTTTACTTCTTGAACTTCGTTGCTAAGCATATGATAAACCGTAAATTGTCTGTCTTTATTTATATTTACCGGAGAAGTACCCACCTATCCAGGGTTACTTTTAAAGGGGGGGAAGAGGGGAATTTCCCCCCTTCGAAAATTCCGCTCCCCCTTTCAAATCGTGTCTGAACGGCTAGGGAGGGAAGGGGGAATTTCCCCCTTTCAAATTTATTTTGGAGCCCATTTTCAATCAATTCGCTATTCAGATTCTATAGTCATCGTTAATCAGATTCTCGTCATCAATCAACGTTGCTGGCGTTAAGATAATTATTAATTTTCAATTTTCGGTTCCATCCAACCATTTTACGTTCAGTGCAGCAGGAACTCCAGATTTGACCCGATACCGATCGGATAGTCGGTGGGACCGTCTCTTGTCTTGTCTCTTCCGTCTTTTCGCAATCACTGACATATCGGTACAGGCGTCGGCGTAGAAACCGGCGGGGGACGGGATTACCTCTCCGAACCAAGGGTGGATACAGGGGGAGGGGGGCAATGGGCCATGGCCCCTCCTTTGACGCAAAAAGAAGGTGACCCCCTTTTGGACCCCCTTTTATATTCTGTGTTCTTTCTCAGAAACGACCCATTTATTCACGATTATTTTCACTTTTTCATCGACGCCAAGGCCAGACATCTAAAATTTTTGTCCCAATATGACAATGGCCGTGTTTAACCATCCTCCAAACCGGAATCATTGAAGGAAAAACAACGTTATTTTTGTCCCATAGGCATCAAAGCTTTGAGTAATAAATGACTTTTCTCTTTATGCAGCATTCACGTTCATCTGCTTTGCATGCAGAGCAGGGCGCAAAAAAAAATGTACCTCATCACAGCCGGCTTTCCCAATGGAACTTTCACTGCTCACTAATACCTACTAATAATAATAATTCAAGTTTTGTGCTTCATTAGTTTTTGTTCGGATATCACTGCCCACCTTGTAGTTGTAGAGGTTGCAGTTTTGTAGCGCCGTCGTTTCTCTACATACACGACCACACAAAGAACTTTGGAATTGCTTAACTGTAGCTTTTGTGAGCGTTTAAGAATTTCATGTTTTTTGCTCATTTTTGCTCGAACAGTTTGACATCAATTACTCCTGACCTAAGGTGACCTAAGACTTGAAATTTTGTGCGAAGGTTTCAAATTGATGCCCGGTAAGGTACTAAAAATTTGGCGGCGCTGCGCGCCGCCGTTTTTCGCTTTTCAAGAAAACCCACATGGGGGCCAAAATGACCTCCAATCAGGGCGCGGATTAACCTCTCTCTTTAGAAAGGCGTTACTTAATGTTTGGCCGGGGTATACCTACTAGTTATTGATACCACTGATAGGTTGATACTACTGATTGGCATTTGCAAGGGCGCAGTCAAGTTGGGACCTCCCCGCCCCTTACAGCCAAGGTAGGTGCGTATATTTTTTAGCAAAATTATTTTTTGGCAACCTTCCAAAATAAAGTGGCTGAAACCCGAGGAAAGAATAGGATTTGGGGGTAGGTAAGGTTCTGCGGGCTCCATCCTAACGAAAAACCTAATGGTATTGCCGCCCACCCCCCTTTCAGATGCCCCTGGATCCGCCTTTGCCACGAACTTTATTCCCCCTCTCAACTTTTCCTGTAAAAGTAACCCTGCACCTATCTCTTTTTCCTTTCCTTGTCCTCGCCCCGCAATTACCTGCGCTAAAACATGTCTTTGGTGCCTCAGATATGCATCGCGAGAAGCTTGCTTCCAATTGAAGTATATTCGGATCGTTGCTAAAAAGCCTTCACAATGAATATTATCATTGATGGGATTTTCAGTTGATTGCTGTGAATAAAAATCTTATAGCCTTAAGCTTTTCTACAAAAATGCATTTATATCAATTTCAGTATTCAGAGGTTGTGTTTTTCATTCAAAATATTAAACTTCCTAATATGCTGATTGAAGTGAAACGGACATTTCCCTCCTCATCTAGATCTGTCCGATCTGGCAGCGCATTCCAAAACCCAAACAAATGTTGACAATCAATATCATTTTTTTTGCATATCAATTTGTAAGTGCAAACCAAGGGTATCATTTTTCCAATTTGTTGACGTTTAATTGAACTGTCTAAGTTCTTATCTGTTCTTTAGCAAGGTAAGTTGAGTATGGTAATAGCAGTAGGGTCGAAATGGTGGGGTTGGGTAGCTAGGCATAGTGGCCTAACTCAAAAACTCAAACTGAGCAGACGTCCAAGCTGGCGTCTGGCATCTAACTTGGCGTCTAACTGTTGGACGGAGACTTACAAGCTAGACGCGTCTTAATTTAGCTGTCGCCAGATAGATGTAGCAGCCATCCAGCTAGACGCATTTAAGACAGACGCATGTAGCTAGACGCAAAATGGAACTCTTCACCCAATCGGGCCAATATGTTTCTGGTTCCAGAAATCCGTGACTGTAGGTGAAACCATTTTTATATATCAATTGGAGCCTGTACTGCTCAATGTTTTTGTTAACTCTGTTGGTTCCCCAGCTTCAGCCATGATTCGCCGTCCACCGACACGCATAGAGCTACGCTTGGAGGATCTGCAAGAGTACGAGAACATGAAGCGTGAGATGGGGACTGCCCGGAATGCGGCTGCTGGCGGCCACACTGCTGATGCTATGCAGGAGACACCTGTTGCGAAGAGCAAACAGCAGCTGGCAGAGGAGAGGCTTGGACTGGTCGTGCCGAAAGGAGCTGCCAAGTAGTTTGATGTGAAGAAGGTAGGTTGTCTGCTCACATCTGTTCATTTGCAACATATGCTGCTTTATTTTCAGTAACAGGAATCAGGAACCTTTTTTTCTGATATGATGCCGTGACCAATGCATTTCTATGTCACCTACACTAATTGGCTATTCAATCAATTTGACAACAGCTGGTCCTGAGTTTGATAACTGGGTCCCTGAGATGGCATCAATTACCTGTGCACTGCAAAAGTTTAGCAGACATTGCTGTCTGCTCATGGGATTGCACCACTGTTACAGAGTCCTAGCTAATGACATTACTGCTCGACATTTCCTTTGCCCTCCACCAGTTGTCAGGCCACATTACAATTGACACTGGCCATCGATTTTGGCGTATTTCTGTAGATGAGCAATCCATTTCATGCTGGTTGTAAATGCTTGTTGAACAGTGTAAGCGTAAGGAGAGACGGGCGTTGTCATTTGTATTCCCCGTTTTCCAGTTGATCGCTGCCAGTGTCATTTGGTCGCCGCCATGGGCTCGTCGCTGGCCTACGAGGTCCTGGCCTACCTGCACGGATGGTACACGGCCGCGTACGTGTGCCTGACTCTGCTGCTGCTGCTGTGGAAGCGCTCGGTGCTGCCCTACCCGCCGGTGAACCTGGTCTCGGAGCTGGCGCTGCTGCTGCTGCTGGCCGCCGCCGAGGCCGCCCGGCTGCTCCTCTCCCGCCGCGGCAACCTGACGCTGCGCGTGCTGCCGCTGCTGGTGGGCGCGCTGCTGGCGGCACCCAGCGCGCTGGCCGTCTGCTACTTCCTGCTGTGGCAGACGTACGTGCTGCGGCTGGAGCTGGTGCTGTGCGCCACCCAGCTGGTGTTTATCGGGCTGGAGACACTGCTGGCGGCGGGATGTATGGTGGCCTTCTCACGGGAATAGTGAACGGGGTCACCACACCGCAGCGGGCCGGGACGGGACGGACGAGTGGACCGACAGTGTGTGTGGTGTGGTGTCAGTGATGGCTACCTGAGGTAGTAGAGAAAGACTCATGTGGCTCGAGAGTGGAGAAGAGCGATGAACGAAGCGGTCATCAGCCATGACTGTTAGTGCTTGCAATCAATTCGATTGTGGCCTGGTGGGATCCAAGCCTCGTGTGTGGCCATTGGATAGCCTACACAGGACCTCAATCCGAATCGACTGGCTACAGCAGCACTCTGATCTGATTCCCCTTGGACTGACACCAGTGATATTTGGTTTTGCCGTGAAGATTCAGAGGTGTGCGCGAATGGTGTGCGTACGCACCTGGTATCTGGACCGTCTAGTGAATGTCCTGTGCTTCGATACCGTCCCATTGGTTGAGTGAAATGCGTCAACTTTGTACGTTTCGTAAACTAGTCGTCATGCACAATGCACATTGTAAATTTCACACGAAACCTTGCATAAATTCAATTTGGTACCTATGTCGATTCGCCCGTGGCCTTGATGGGACTCAGATTCCATGAAAGCTTTACGTCTGAGCAGAGTGTTATTTTCACAAGCAGATTTCCCGAGCTTGAATTCCCATGCTTCCTATCATCCGTCACGCCATTTAAGTGGTAACAAACCTGGTAAGTTCCGACTAGGTTATATTCACGTTCACCGTGCGTGCTTTCAGCAGACAGTCGATAAAAGGTGCATCGATACCCCACCTCACCCAACACTGGCAGTTTAGCCGATAACGCCGATAAATTCGCTCCAATGCATAGACAATTACACCGGCAGTTGTTCCAGAAGTCGCCCCAGACGGCTATGGACTACAAATCAGCCCTAACAACGCAAAATCACAAGACGCTCAGCGTCGATTGTCTCTAACCTAGCGCTAAAACTTCACTCACGCCTCGTGTTCCGCGTGTCGCGGGTTCGAATCTCGGCGCGGTCGGCGCTTTAGGCGGCCGGGAACTTGGTGACGGCGTCGTGGATGGCCGAGGCCACGTAGTCGATGTTGTTGGTGTTGAGGCCGGCCATGTTGGCCCGTCCCGAGCGCAGCAGGTAGATGTGGTGCTCGTTACCGAGATACTCGCACTGCTGGGCTGTACGGCGGAGGGACGGGCGTCAGACGGGTGTGGACAGTAACTATAGACGGCTGTAGGAATGTGGAAAGACGAACGTGGCTTGGTGTGGCCCAAAGCAGATCGACTTACAGTTGTTAGTCGTGAAACAAGCAGCAATCAGCTGTGAAACAGAATCCAGCCACGAGGTACCGCTACCCACGTTTAAATCATCTCGCGTCCCGCTACATCCTTCCACGGCCCCTCGCTGGCTGTCCCCCCCCCCGTAAAACTCACGCGTCAGGCCGGTGAAGGAGAACATGCCGATCTGTCTGGTGATGTGGTCCCAGGTGCCGGGCGTGCCCAGCTTCACCAGACGGTCGCGCAGCGCCTCCCGCATCTGGATGATCCGGCTAGACATGACGCGAATGTGGTCCTGCCTGTGGACGGGAAAGGGACGGATGATGGCTTTGGTCCCCTGGGTCAGAAATCGTAAATCCCTGGCTGCGACAGATGACTAGAATCATCACGCTAGGTCGACTTTACCAGGCACAACACATTCCAAAACTTGGCCAATGCAACTCGCTGCGCTCATATTTCCAACCGCACAACGATCAACATTTTACTGCCTGGCCACTTTTTGCTCTCTTCAGTCTGCACCTCAGCAATATATCCGACCTTCTTTATCTTCCCATATAAACCCCTCTGTGAATTTACGGACCCCCTCCACTGACCACTCGGCGAAGAGGTCCTTGTTGGTGAGCGTGGCGGCCACCACGCGCGCCCCGTGCGCCGGCGGGTTGCTGTAGGTGGCGCGAACGACCAGTGTCAGCTGACTGAGCACGGCCGCCGCCAGCTCGGCGTCCTTCATCACCACGGTCAGGTTACCGGTCCGCTCATCTGGGGGGAGAGGCAGCGAGTCAGACCGTGACACACAAAACAGTGGCAGCACGGCGACCGACAAGCAGCATCGCAGTGAGGCAGCAATCAACGCAAGACCAGCCAGTACCCAGTGTTCAGTTTCATTTCAACTTATAGCAGTGTCGGTTTCGTAAACATTCCGGTTATAAACATAACAAGAATCATTTGTGCCCGGCTGATTTCCGAAACATCCGCTTAACCGCAACCACCCGCCCCAGTTACAACTCACTGTAGAGTCCGAAGTTTTTGGAGAAGGACTGCGAGCAGAACAACTCGAAGCCCTCCTTGGCGAAGTAGCGCACCGTGCGCGCGTCCTTGTCCAGGTCGCCCGACGCGAAGCCCTGGTAGGCCGAGTCGAAGAAGGGGAACAGTTTCCGCTCGCGCATGATCTCGGCAATCTGTTTCCACTGTGCGTCGGTGGGGTCGCAGCCGGTTGGGTTGTGCGCGCACGCGTGCAGGATGATCACCGAGTTCTCCGGCGCGTTCCTCAGGTCCTCGCACATGCCTTCAAAGTCGATGTTCTTGGTGGCCGGGTCCCAGTAGCGGTAGGCGCGACCCTGCTTGAAGCCCGCCGTGTCGAAGATGAGCTTGTGGTTGCCTGAGGGCAGGCAGTGGAGATTGGTTAGTTTTTGAAGCCGAAATGGGTTTGGAGTGACGTGAAATAGGCAAGCCGTATATCCCTCCTAATTTATCCGTTGGCAATGCTCCCAGATGTCTGTTAGTGCATTTCGAGTCCCAATGGCCTGACCACCTGTTCGTTCACTACCTCATGATTATGCTGGCCAGCTGTCGCTTACGCTGTGAAATGACTATCATCTGTCGCTACTCAGCGCACACAGCATGCACTGAACACACCCCCCCCTCTCCTGAACAGACGGGGGTGTCTGGCTCTCGGCCAGAGACTGTCGCGGAGCGCGCGGCCCGATATAGGTACACCCGGCACGTGACACCGTCCGCCGCTACCCAGCAGGTCAATGTCAGCCGGTCGCCAACCGGTGCTGGCAGCCGGCGAACATTCACACGCTGCCCAAACTGGCAGAGGCGGCCGCTTTACACCCCTAACTGGCACACGGAGAGCATTTACACACTGCCCAAACTGGCAGAGGCGGCGGCTTTACACCCCTAACTGGCACACGGAGAGCATTTACACACTGCCCAAACTGGCAGAGGTGAGACTGGCGCAAACACCGCACCAAACCGGGCCGTCGGCGGCTGGTGAGCCTTCAGTGGCCGGCACACAGGCGGTGCAGTGGTATTACAGAGGAATAAAATATCGGAATGACTCACGACAGTCCTGTGATGTGTGTGAATGACAGAAAAATCGCTCCTAAAGCACGGCGATCGTTTCAGGTGGGTAGAAATTGAAACCCAGAACGAGATCCAGTCTCTATTTAGCCCGTAACATAATCCAAAGTAGCTTACATTTTAGCAAAACGCACACTGACGATCCGCCACGTAGAGTCACTATAACGGTACAAACTACAAGGGTAGCTACTAGGTGCAACAGCCGGGGAGCACGGACCCGGACTATAGTTTCCCGCCACTCACCCCATGTGGGCGCCGAGTAGTAGTAGGTGTCATAGCCGAGGATCTTCTGTAGGAACTTGGCGCCAACAAACAGGGCGCCCGTTCCAGAGAGGGACTGCACTCCTAGCGCCTGTACACGACCGAGAACACACGCAACACACATTGACGTCAGAATATGTAGAACATATTCTCAATGTAAAAACAGATCGAGGGTGCCAAAGCTGTCACAGGTGTGCAGAAACAATCAGTCATTTTAACCAATACCTGTAAAGACAATAAGACCGAAGCACAACCGGGATTCGCAATAAAACGATAAAGCGACACGGGTGATTATTCGGCATGTGATGACGGTTTATTTTAGTAGTTATCACCACGGTAACGAGTCGACCCCCACCAAACACGATTTGGCAGCACTGTAATGACGCTTGCTGGGCGTGAAGTTTTCCCTTCACCATAGGGTTTACACACAAACTGGTCAAAGTTTGAGCCAGGATATACTAGTCTAAAAATGCAAAAAACGAACAAATTTTGGCATCAATAGATTCAGCATTTCATCGTGTGCCTCAAACCGTCCATCATTTGGCCTCAAAGGAGGTAAAAATTGTTCAAAATCGAAGTTGAAAAGATGCTTTCTGAGCACATAATCTGGTAGCAATCACGTGACCTGCTATAAGCAGCTTATCGATAATTTACAAACATAATTATTAATATGCTGCTTTAAACAACATTAACCATACATTTTGAGCTTTCAGTACTTTAAATAAGGTCAAAACATCGCAAAACACAAAAGTTAATACAATAGTCACGTGGGTGTCAGGAAATGTCACAGGTGCGTCAAATTTGTGACTGGGGCTTTATTTTCAAACATCGGATCTACCTGTTTCTTATAGGTATCTTGGTAACGAGTAACGACCAATGTGTCGGCATCGGAAGCTGGGGTAGAATGGGGAGGGGGGATGAGGCAAATAAATAAACCAAGATTGGTCCCACAGCTCCCCGGGCAGCCGACGTAACAGCCACGGGTGGAGAATGTTTGAAAAAGCTACCCCGGCCGGCGACCGAAAGTCAGAAAGACGATGATGCTCAAATATTTGTCAACGGTTATCAACAAACCCCTATTCTGTGGCATAGAATAATGGATGTCTGCGTACGTTTTTAGGGAAAACTGCTGCACGCAGGTGCGGAAGATTTCGTAATTGTAACAACAATTTTGCAACACGCCTTAAAATTTCGGACGCATGTCACCTAGTGCTAGGTCAGGTCATCAGGTCAAATTTGCTGGATGATCGTGCTAAAAATGCCATCATGCCCTTTGCAAAGCTTATTCCGTGGAACTTGCAACCTCCCCCACAAAACAAAATGTCAAATTTGACCGTTTTGACCCTCTTATTGATTTGAGCTCGCACCTGAAATATTATTCGCAACCGAGCCTTAAAGGGACCCTCCCACCTTAACATTAGTTTTGAGTTGAGATAGCCAAGTTTGCGGCCAGGCTCAGAAACCACCATTTATCCTGGTCGCAACCCCCGCAGCTTTATGGTGTTCAATAAATTTCTTCCCTTTACTTGCAGGGTGGGACCAGCGTGGTCCCTATCTCTTAACCATTACGGGAATCTGATGACGTCATCAGGCTTTCGAACGTCCGTCAAATGTTTGACTAAAACGTTTTGTAGCACGCGGTGGTATATGCTGCTTTGCGCGCAACAAATGCCGCACTTTCAAATAAAGTCGCTAGGAACAGCGGAGATCCCAAAAAGTAAACAAAAGTAAAAGTCTAATATCTTGAAAACCGGTGAATATTTTTCGATGAAATTTGGTAGATATTCGTTTTTGCTCTTTCTGAACCGAGCGACATCACTTTCATGCCAAATCATTAACTTTTTTGAAGGTGGGAGGGTCCCTTTAAACGAGTAATCGAATGTTTTGTTTGCAGTGTTTAAGCTCCGTTATGTTCATGAACTGTGAGAAAAGTTGTCGGAGAACGCTAAAATCAGAGAAATTTGGCTTTTGATGATCTATGATGATTTTATAATTGAGCTTGCCTAAAACATGACCAGATTTCTCTAGTCACGTTTGTCGCTCTTTCAAACGTCGTTCCGCTTCTCGCCTCGTAGCCCAGCAGCCGAGTTAGGAGTGTGAAAAGCCCACCTCTCGACTCAACGTGTTACGATTAGGCCACCACCCTGGCGCGGGTTAAGTTGGAGGAGCCTTGAGCCCCAGCAGCTCGTCCTTCTATCTCACTGATATTACACGGCCCTTAAATATGATTTACTTCTGTTTGATGAAACATGTCGGGCTCCGCGATGAAAAGACTTAAAAACATCAAGCTCCAAAATGAAAATAAAGTAAATTTTCAAGAACTTTTCAAGGTAGATAAGAATAATGAGAGACACTTTTATAGATGGCAGTTTTTTTCGTATGGAGACAGCTTTTAGGATTTACAAAAGTGGAAAAAGTTACCCCGGCCGCGCCGGGGTCGGCTGAAAGTTACCCCGGCCACGGCCGGGGTGGCCGGGGTAGGTTCTCCACCCATGGTAACAGCGATCTGTAGACAACGGACCGGCCACAGGACCACAAATATTATTTTAATCCTATCGTAATGTCACTTGTCAGGGACCAGACCAGACGCTGCCTGCAAGCCGAGCCCCGGCTCTGCGAGGGCCAACAGACACACCCACCGCTGCACAGTGGCCCTTTTTCAGAATTAGCACGCATAAATTCAAAATATTTTTTCTCTTCTTTTGAGTAAAAAGCAGTCTAATCGTGTGCAAAACATTCCAAACTATCCGATGGTGCCATTTTTACCTCCTAAAAAATAATTATCTTTGGTAAAACTGACCGCAAAATCGAAGTTTGTCGAGAGGCGCGCGGACACCACCGGCGGACCCTAAAAAGTAGGGTGAGATGAACATCAATTTGTAAGGCTTTCGGTGAGAAAATATTAAAAATTAGTGGCATGGCTGTGAAGCCGAGTTTACGTAGAAGCCCTAAAAACCAAAATTTTTATTGTATAAACTTAAATAGACCACTTTTGCCGAATATTGTGGACACAATAACAGGACAATTATTAACTGGAGATGGCGGCATACATATGAAGCTTTATGTTAAGTAGCACACTCTGGAACATGTCGTATTATACATCTTTCGAATCGCCGATCTCTTCTGACCATGTCCACCAAAGGGCATCGCGCCATTTTGCGCCATTTTGCTTCTACGGTGGATAACGTGAGCCAGTTCAGTCCGCGAGCGGCTGAGGCTCCTGTTCGATACGACTAAGCTCATTGACCTGGCTCGAAGCTGGTGTCACCTGGTGGGCGCCTAAATGTGGCTTGACTTTTGCCATAAGATGTGTTTATTGAAATGTCATGTAGGCATAACGCTGTGTTCAAGAAAAACTGTCCGATTTCTTGTCGCGTTTGATGTCCAAGCCGCACAAGTCCCGTGGTCGGCTTAAGATCTAACGTCAAAAGCGCCTATGTGTTTGTATTGTTCGCGTCGCGCTGACCTTAGTTGCTGCCCGGCCGGGGCCGACTAACGGTGGCTGGCAACAGCTGCAGATGCGGTCACGTGACGCCCTGGGGCGTCCTGGCGGTCAGTGCACACTGCAGCGCGGTCGGCTGGCGGGCTCGCCACACTTGCGTTCGGAGCGGCCTGGGCCGGCGGGCGAGCCGTGCGAACGTGCGCCAAATCTTGGGCCGAGCGGCCTGTCGCTGTTGGGCCGAATCTCCTTGGGCAGTTCGTTTCTTTTCTTGTCTTTGCATTGGCAGGGAATACGTCCTTGATTACGTGGTGATGTCTTGCACCACTTTCAGGTAATGTGGGAATTAATGCGTGCTAATTCTGAAAAAGGGCCACTGTGCGCTGGTGAGACGTGACCCACGAACTGCTTGTGCGATGTCGTCCATGGGGATGCCGTACAAGAGCACGCACAATATGGGATCGAATATCCGTCCACTCAATGGAAAGTTACCGGTATGGGTGCATAATCCAGCTTTTTACTACCTTCTGGTTACGGCCAGCTGGATATCGTCATTAAGCCTTTACCGTAAAACCCCGACGACCGGCCGTTGGAAAACTGGTGCGGGATTATTATTACCTTCATTTATAATATTCACCCCTCTTAATCCTCACCAAATCAATTTCATTCATCCATCTCTGGCACCCTCTCCCTCCCCACCCCTCTTCCCTCTCCCCGTTGACTCCTCACCCGGTTATCGATGACGGCCGGACAGTCGGTGCCCAGCAGCATGTGTACGGCCGCCTTGCTGAACGCGTCCAGACCCAGCACGGGCAGGTACTCGTGGTTGAGCGTCTCGTCGGCCGCCAGCTGCGCCTCCAGTTTGCGCACCACGGGCAGCACCCACGGCTTGCCCTCGTCGGTCCGGTACGCTGCACGCAGAGGGGGGATTAGGGCAACTCTGCGGGGGGTGAGGGGAGCAGAGTAGGGAAACTTTGTAGGGCAGGGGCAGATAAGGGAAACTCTGCAAGGCAAGTTACCAGAGTATAAAGTATCCAGGTCAGTGATGGAGGCTATTGGGAATGGAAAAGGAGCCACAAGGGACAAGCTAACTGTGATGGGAGTGAGAAAAAGAGAGAGGAAAGGAGAGGGTGAGAGAGAGAGAGAGAGAGAGAGAAGAGAGGGTGAGAGAGAGAGGGTGAGGGCGAGAGAGAGGGTGAGAGAGAGTGAAAGTGTGAGAGAGAGAGAAGAGAGAGAGAGAGAGAGAGAGAGAGAGAGAGAGAGAGAGAGAGGAGAGAGAGAGAGAGAGAAGAGAGAGAGAGAGAGAGAGAGAGGAGAGAGAGATAGAGAGAGAGAAAGAGAGAGAAGAGAGAGATAG